AACTTGGGCACTCTGCTCCTGACTAGCTGAGGTGAACCATATATTTTGTATGTTGAATTTGGGGAAAACTTGTCAAGTCTTTAGTTGGTAAGTTTTTACTCTTTTTGTTAAATAGCTTTTTGTTCATCTAGTATAACAGAAAATGTGGGGAATATACCATTTTTTGTAATTCAATTGTGGTGATGTAATTTTATCTTTTTCTATCTAAAACGAATTGACATTTTGTCATTGAACAAGTTCAAAGTCAAAGTGGAATTGAGTATGTAAAGATACGTCTTTGTTAATTTAGCTTTCTATGAATTAGTATCAAATTCATAAGGGTCAAATTATTTATAAGGGATATTTATATTATTTTAGTGTATAGCTCCTGGTTGAACATCAAACCGACTTAATAGAGAGGAATTGAGGGAAACCTCCACACCATAGCTGTGGGTGTTTTTTTTACATGAGGAATAAATATATACAAAGAATACCCGGATCCTGGTTGTTTTGTGAACCCCGGTAACATATTGCAACTGTATTTATGAAGTATCAGCTTTCCAGACACTATGTTTATGAAGTATCAGCTTTCCAGTCACTATGTTTATGAAGTATCAGCTTTCCAGTCACTATGTTTATGCAAGTTTTAACAAATTGAATGAAAAGGCAGTTTTTTTCGGACAGAAATATGTTTTCATGAAAATAAGATACAAGCGAATAATTTTCAGCTATTCAAGTTTTATTTTTCATATTTCTTTATTTTCATACCAAATTCTCATTTTTCTATGAAGATAAAATAAGCCACGCCCCAAAAACTACTTCTTGTCTGTGTCGGCAACATTGACGAATACATGAACAAAATTGCTGATGATTTTCTTTTGATCCAAATTTAGAGCAATTTTAAAGTGCACACGTTATTTCAATTATTAGCATTATTTTAAATATATGTAAATTTGATTTAAACAATGATCTTATAGTCTGCCTGCTATCATAACACAAACAACACAAACGGTTTTATTGATCACTCATATCAAATAACAGATGAAATTCCAAAGTTTGACATTGAAAAACATTTGTTGAGAAATGTTTATGGCTTACTCATTTTGTCACCAAACGGCTCTAAATACACATTCAACTGACTACACACCAAATGTGCAGATTCAGGGAATGAATAGATCTACCGTATCCCACTGTATGTCGTTAGAGGTGATCATTGAGCACCCCTAACCCTAGCTGTTGCGAGGACGTTAAACTTCAAACAAACAAATTAACCATAATCTCGTTCAATTTATTCGCGACGAAAAACGTATATACGTAGTCGTACAGGACTTAACTCGTACAAACCTCTCCTCTCAATCATTTTCATGTCGATTTTACAACAAAACAATTCGAAATGTTTACGCCAATACACTGCTCACTGTCTCTAGGTTTCGGTGCAGGCAATGAAATATGACAACATGAAAGAAAAAGGTTTTGTGCAAAGTAACAAAGAAAAGATTTCATCGATAACCAAAGTGATAAGGTATGCCCCAATCCCCCTGTAGATTGTGACCTAGAACAGCAATAACGCGTTAAACCAATAAAATATATTTCTTTACAATTTTCCTATCACAGAGCATCATATATGAAGTCATTTGTGAAAGATACAGTTGTTTAACAATCACTCAAATTTGAACCGAAATAATTTGGATTTTTTAATCTTCATAATATATCATTCAAATAAATCTTAACTTTTGATGCAGTAAAACTTTTGCCACTTACAATTGTAAAACTTTGCCTGAAAGATCCTACCATCATATTTAATTTTTCTAAATCGGAAAAAAATGTGTGCGAAAAGGTTTTTTCTGAAAAGTTTATAATGCTAAAGTGTCACCTATATAAGCTTATTAAGATCAGATGGAGTTACAAATGTATGGATGTTTAAAATGAATTCGAGTTTCAATTGTTAATACGTATTACCATAAAGCTATATGCAACGTTCAACTTTACTTGACACGTTTAGCAATAATTTAAGAAAAATCGGATACACAAGATTGTATTACTCTGCAAGAAGTTAATAATCGACTGCTAGTTATATAACTATATATAGCATCCGTAAAATAATAAGACTTCAATTTAACTGTGCCTGAAATATAAAATCAGCATATTTTCTTTCTTTCTGACAGAACTTCAACGAAATATTAAATAAATGATATGCGTCATGTCGAACATTAATGAAATAAAAGTATGTTAGGCATGGTTTTTAACACAATTTGTTTTTGCCTTTTAATTGGTATTGTTCCTTATCAGAAACATATATTCCATTTGTACATTAAAAGTAAGCTTTATATTACAAAATTAACACTACTTGGTGAATTTAACATTTATGAAGAAAAATGGGATACAGAACAAACCCGTACTTTGAACTCAAAATTGATAAAACAAGAAATGTCCCAAAGAAGGACACAAAAGCAAATCCCGAATTCTGCAGGGGCTCCCCTCATTAGTTGCCTCCTACGATATATGCAGAGGGTAACCCCACCTGCTGCAGTGGTGCTGATGACTTGGTATGACACAAGCTGTAGCCGCAGCATTATACAGCTTTCTGTCCAATAAATGGTGTCACTCAGGCCTCTACGTGCAAGCAGGCGCACCAATGTTGTAGGCAGTCTGGCTAGTGTAGTCTCAAATTGGAACCAATGTCTAGTTGGTTGTCTTCTCCGAGTTGGAACCAGACATCTGAAAAGGACAGATGCACACGAAAAATAACAATATCATACTTGTGCGCACACCTTCCAAAACTAGCACACTTTATCTAAAATACTCAAATTATATAATGATATCTGGTTTGACATTATTCATAGAAAATATACCATTATGCTATAAAACTATACATAATAATTGCTATGTGTGCATGCCAAAAACATACGTACATACATATATTGCAAATTATGTATGTCTCCATATGAAAGGACCAACATTCATGACTTAATAACACTGACGAGGTATATAATAACTAATTAATGACTAAATATTACCAAACATGACTACATAAAATACGATAAATAGTACCAGCATGACATGTCTTAGCAATTAGTTTTATATAACTAAATTAACCCACACAGGTTACTGATTATGTTGAAATGTGTGAAATAAACACGCATAAATATGAAACGCAAGAGTGACGCGCACCTGTACCTAGCCTACCTATACAATGCATGCACACTATAAATACCAGACGAAATATAAAATTATGGATATAAAAGTATACATTGAATATTTGGATGATCAGAATTAACACTTACCCCGTTTCATAGGTGTCATGATGACTCTGTCTGGTTTTAGGCCTTCTCCAAATGACACACGTCTTAACACACCAATAGCTAATGACTGTGTGAACATTATTTACCTGGTCAGTCCAACTTCTATCACTTACCCTTGAATAGCGGAACGAAATATAAACAAGAGGCCAAGAGGGCCTGTATCGCTCATCTGAATATGTTTAAAATAATTGGTATGAAGTAATCATATAGCACTCCATGGTAGGTGCTGTAAGTACATATGAATTTCAGAAAGATCCATTCAGTACTTGAGATATATCGAGAACAAACTTCAAACAGAGCCCACCCCTATGCCCCTAGGGGGTCATACCCACCAATTATACAAAATTGAGACCTCTTGGCCCAATGATGCTCCAGACTAATTAGGATAAAATCCCTTAATTCTGATGGTCGAAGAAGGATTTTAAAGGTTTTACCGCTATTTCTCATATTGGGCCCCGTCCTTCTACCCCCTGGGAGACCACACCCACTGCTTATACAAAATTGAGTCCCCTTGGTCCAAGGATGCTCCAGACTAAATTAGGATAAAATCCCTTAATCCCTATGGTAGAAGAAGGATTTTAAAGGTTTTACCTCTATTTCCCCTATTGGGCCCCACCCCTCAGGTCCGAGGGGGGCCACACGCACTGTTTATACAAAATTGGTTCCCCTTTACCCAAGGATGCTCCAAACCATTCATGGACCAAATCTTTTCATTAATAATAGTAATGATAATATACAGCATTTATATAGCGCCTTATATATAAAATTACTCTAAAGCGCTTTACAACATATGGATAATAGTAATGGTTATAATTGTGAAACAAACAACAAAGGCTTGCAATCACTTTCATACATTTAACAAGCAATGTGCACATAATTGAACAAATAAAAGGGTGGTATTTACATGACGTCTTTGCAAAGATTCTAAAATGCAGACGTGAAGAGGTGAGTTTTTATGTCCCTCTTGAACTTAGCCAGGGTATTCGACTTCCTAATAGCCGATGGTAAGCTGTTCCACAACGTAGCCGAAACCCTCCCAAAGCATCTGTTTCCGTAGGTCACAGTACGAGATTTTGGGACACACAACAAAGATTGTGACTCCGACCGCAGTGATCTTGACGGCTGATACAGGGTAACAAGCTCCTGTAGGTACTGAGGAGCATTCCTACAGAAGAAGAAGGATTTTTAATAATAATTTGCTATGTTTCCCCTATTGGGCACCGCCCCCCAGGCCCCTGGGGGGCCAGACCCGCAGTTTATACAAAATTGGTTCCCATTTATATTAGGATGCTCCACACCAAATATGGACCAAATCCTTTCATTCCTACAGAAGAAGAAGGATTTTAAAGAATAATTTGCTAATTTTACCATATTGAGCCCCGCCCCTCAGGCCCCTGGTGGGCCAGACCCACGGTTTATACAAAATTGGTTCCGTTTCACCCAAGGGTGCTTTGGACCAAATATGGAACAAATCCTTTCATTCCTACAGAAGAAGAAGGATTTTAAAGAATTTGCTATATTTCCCGTATTGAGCCACGCCCCTCAGCCCCCAGGGGGCCACTTGGCCGTTCAGGACTAGTAGTGTTTTAAAGGAAAAGATGGTTTTAATTTCACTATATTGTTCTGTACGGGAGTGCTCAACCATATTTTCTCTATTTGACGCTAGGTAGGTCGTGTTGCGTTATCTGTAGTTCTTATTTTATTCAAAATTTAGAAAACATGGCTGATACGATGAAACAGTCTTTGATTGAAAGCCTGACCTCCTGTCCCAAGTACATTCCTACTTGGTACAAATACGACGAGCTGGGTTCTAAATTAGAGCTCGATTGCAGAGATACAGCAAAGAACAAAGATTATTACCTGTATCCATGTATGACATCCTGCCTAAAGTCCAACATACAGGTGAGTCAAATGAGGTTTCATCATACATGTGAGTTAAATGAGTTCACAACATACAGGTGAGTTAAATGAGGTAACAACATACAGGTGAGTTAAATGAAGAATGAAGTAACATCATACAGGTGAGCTAAATAATGTAAAATCATACAGGTGAGTTAAATGAGGTAACACCATACAGATAATTATATGGGGTAACAACATTCAGGTGAGTTACAGGAGGTAACATTTTACCGGTAAATTACATAGGGTCACATTTCTGTCATGAGTGGTGAAACAGTTTTCCTGTTCTTGAAAGTCAATGCACAAATCATAGGCTCATAAATATTTCTCTCATTTTCTCCCGCTTGTTACTTAGGTAACGAATCATTTGTTTCATGCCTTCATATTGTTAAGACTTTACAGAATAATCCACAGATGAACAGTAAAATTGCCGTCATTTTTAGCCAAAGTAATAATATCTATACATCTGATTGGTGTAGAAACATCAACATGACGTCATCTATGTGTTGCCGCGACTTAGTGCCAGAAAAGCAATAACTTTTGGATTTTTTTTATCATTTTGAAAGTTTAACCCGTGGTTTGTTGGGTTAAGTTTAACCCGTGGTTTGTTGGGTTAAGTTTAATCCGTGGTTTGTTTGGTTTTAGAGAGGCAGTGATACCAAAACATTCTGGTTTTTTTGATGATGTGTTATTGGAACCATCTAGAGACAACAATGGTTATTTGAACAGCAATTAACGATATCAATCTCCGCATAAACTAGTTATATAAATGAACCTTTACATAAGTTGTAATTATGTAGCTTTCAATTTGGTTACAAGAGATCGATTTGTTTATATAAGCACAGTAAGCTTTTCTGTGTCATTTTAATTACTACTGTTCTAGTTCAATATCAAAATTACGTATGGTGATACCAATGGTTTGTTAAGGCCGTAAATATGGCTTATCATTGGGTGGAAATTTATGGTGACCAGACATCGTTTAAGAGATGTGTTGAACCTTAACATGATTTTGTTTTATTTTTGTTTTATTAAAGAAAGGACAAAGAAGCATATGTGCGACTTCGTAAGAGCTCATTCAATAACCATTTTTGTGCAAACAATTCAGAAAACAAATCAGATATATGTTATTAAAACTGAAAGTATCTGTTTGAAGGATTTAGTTCCGAACAGCCAGAGTTCGTACACGTTGATTGATCTTGGGAGTGGGAATTGTTCCAAGACGAGGCACGTGATAGATCAGCTTTTCAAAAACCAGACATCTCTGTCGTTTTATCCTCTGGATATATCAAAAGGTGAGGATAAGAAGAACTATTTTGTGTTCACGTATACCATGTTCTATGGGTTAGTTGTACTTAATAACATACCGATCTATCATTAGGTGTGGATTACAAGTACTATTTTGGATACAGATATTCCGTGGGTCATGGGTAAGTTGTACCATAATAGGAGCAGAAATATGCACTGCAAGACGTGAATTCGAAATGGAGCCTATCTGAGCTCAAGAAGGACGCTCTACCAATTGGGCTACCTAGTCGCCGACGATCGACCCCGTTCTGTTCCGCTACATTCCTCCCTCACTACATTTTCTAAGCATTCGCCCCCGAAGACACACTATTTAAAACCAAGGTTCGGATCTGCTATTTCCAAGCATTCACCCAGTGCTTGAAACAAGGGTTGGTCACAAGCACCAGTTTTGTCACGGGAAAGAGAAATCGAGAGGTACGGATTTGGTTCTATTTCGTAATCAGTTTCAATAAAAAAAAATCTGGATTATAAGTGCTGTTTCATATATAGATATTATTACCATTAATATTTTGTATGAAGCTTATCTTGTATACAGATAGTTTGAGGGTGGATATGGACAAATATCTACAGTTTATGCTCTGTGGACATTAACATATAAATTAGTCAGTTTCTTAAGATATTTCATTTTGTTGTTGTTGTTGTTGTTGCTGGCTCTGCTTAAAGTAAGAGATCGGGAAAGATTAGAAAAACTCACACAAACCTTAAAATCAAATACATTATCTCTCACTACTTCTCTCACCATTTCCATGGGTCACTAGAAGAAACGCAGCGAAAACCCAAGTCCAGTTTCGCTACATCCCTCTTAGGCCTCGCCCCCACACACAACTCTACTTTAAACCAAGGTTCGTGTATGCAATTTTCCAAGCATACCCAAAGCTTGTTACCTATTTAAAATATAGTATGTCGATGCTAAAATCCAGACAAATTAAACAATTACCTGACATGTAAGTTATATCTTTCAGAGTTCTTGATGTGTTCAGTAAAGAAACTGGCCGACGAGTATGAAAACCTGACCATTTATCCCATAGCAGATGATTACGTCAATGGAATCGAGAAAATGAGGTAGGACTTCAGCAGCTATTTTCTCCTTGGGTTGCATATCATTAGCTCTTTGTAACCCGAGAAAATATAGTTGGTGCTCATAGTTTCATGTCAAATATCATTCAGCAGTAATAATTTAATGTCAAATAGAATTTAAGTAAAAAATTGTGTCAAACAAATAAAAGAAAATTGACGGTTTTAAGTTGGAATATCGATATGGGTATTGATTGGTCTGGGAATATTGATGTTAGCATTTATTATGACCATCAGTGCAAAATGAATGTATTTGATAGGCTGTCGAGATCGCTGTATATATACATATACACTTCAGGTAATGGGTTATATTCGTCATCCCCTTTATAAAATGCAATGGCACAGTGTTAATCTGTATAAAAACAATCATTAGAAATTGATAAGGAAGTATGAAATATAGCTCATAAAATATATTTTTATTTATTATATATCAGAAAATTGTCAGAATTGCGTCTTATCTCTCTTCCTGTAGTAACAAAAATAGAACTCGTCAAAAAGGACTATATTTGATGCATAGAGTATAAGTTTCAGGTAGTATTCTTGCGTAATATTCCCAAGTTGATATTTTTTTCTCAACTTTGTCAAACAAAATGATCGTATGAAAAAGTCTTCTTTATCAAGAAAGGGAATGATAATGTGTTAAAACCTTAAATGCGACTTAATATTAAGGTTTTTAAAAACTCAAAAGCAGTCTTGTCTGAACAAACCTTATTTTTTGAATTTGGTAAAATACATGTAAATGTTATAACAACTAAAAACTATTTAACATCAGAAAAACAAAAGGCCAATTTGTGCAAAAGCAGCTAATGTGCAACGAAATGTTGCAATCACTATGTTACAGACACCTGAAGGGTGACAGGCTAGTGACAGGCTCATACTTGTAAGTTCTATATGTACGCAGTTTATTACCATTTACATTGTTTGTGTCATCCCACAAAGACAACTGCCACTTATCATCATCTTCAAAACTCAGGTCATTCTTAATATCCTTCATACATTTATACGTTGATGTATTTGCGGTTAAAACTTCACTTAATTTTTTCTCCGCTATCACACTAACAACCCGAGAGTCCCAGGATTTTCTAATAGAACATGACCATTTATGAATTGTCTGCAGTAGTCTGCTATCATCGCAATTCTTTATACTTAAATATAATCTAAAAAATTCAATTAATTGGTTAACTTCACATGAATTCCAACCCATTTTACAGACACTTGAATGGTCCGAAGGTATACAATGGTACATCTTAATTATTTTACAGACACTTAAATGATTAGAAGGTATACAACGGTACATCTTAATTATTATACAGATACTTGAATGGTCCGAAGTTATACAACGGTACAACCTTAATCATTTTACAGACACTTGAATGGTCCGAAGGTATACAACGGTACATCTTAATTATTTTACAGACACCTGAAGGGTCCGAAGGTATACAATGGTACATCTTAATTATTTTACAGACACTTGAATGGTCCGAAGGTATAGAACGGTTCATCTTAATTATTTTACAGACACTTGAATGGTCCGAAGGTATACAATGGTACATCTTAATTATTTTACAGACACGTGAATGGTCCGAATGTAATCCTATGGTTCAACGGCATCTTGAACCTTTCCTACCATGACCAGGTGGAAATGCTGAAACTGATATCGACACTTATGACAGGTATGACGTCACACTATACGTAGATATATATACCATTGCCATGTGACTGTTTTGTGTCTTCTCACATTGTCATGTTAATGTGTCAACAAATGTGTAAACTCACTTTGAAGATTCGTCTCTCTTTTCATTGTAATAACTTGGAAACGCTAGCATCAGACCGCATCCAGTTCCGTCATAGTTTAAAATTGACATTAACATTTAATATAATTCAATATAGAAGATTTCGATTACACATCCCAAAATATAAATGAAAAATAACGATTTCTAATATAGAACACAAGTTTTAGAATATTACAATATATAACACGATTTTAAATATCAATCATGGGTATATCAAATTATAAAATAAATCAAAGGATTAAGAAGAAAAAACAAACAGTGATAACAAGCACAAGATAAATCACAGCATGTTCAAAATCGCACTGTTTCACATGCCAGGTTCATATACTTTCTAAAACCCCTCACATACGTCATAATGAACGAGAGCATTTTAATGTGTTACAGACAAGTGTCATTTGATATTCAGTACCGACATCACACAGGACAAGACATCTGTATTAAAGGCATACGACGATAAAACAGGCAAGTACATTTATATAGACAATGATGATGTAGACTTCTGGCGCAGGTCATCCGAAAAAAAGGTGCAGTGCAGCATATTTCAGCTGTAGGTAATTATATACAGAAAAGTAGTGCCGCAGACTTCAGGTGTTGGTCATTATTTAGAAAGGTAGATAATCAATGCTGTAGACGTCAGGTGCCAGTCTTTTTTTTTACACCCTCGTGGTACTGTAGATTTCGAGTGGGGGTAATTATTGGCAGACGAGAAGTGCTATATGTATCTTGTGTGTGCCATTATTTGCAGAGGCAAGCAGTGCAGCAGACTTCAGGTGTGGAGCGGTTTTTACAGAAACAAGTGTTGCATCAGATTTCAGGTGCGGGCGATAGATTTCAGGTGCGGGCGATTATTTAAAGAGACAAGTTGTGCATTAGATTTAAGGTGCGGGCGATTATTTAAAGAGACAAGATGTGCATTAGATTTCAGGTGCTGGCGATTATTTAAAGAGACAAGCCGTGCATTAGATTTCAGGTGCGGGCGATTATTTGAAGAGACAAGTGGAGCTGTAGAATTCAGATGCGTGTCGGTATTTATCTTTGGCTTAGTGGAGATAATTTGAATGCAAAATGTATCTAGATAATAATTCCATTATCTACTCTTTACAGGACTACACAAGAAACTGTTCCTGAATGCTATCACCAGGTTGAACAGAGAGCATGGCAGTCACATCAACACTGACTTGTTTCGGTATGTAGTGGACTTTGTATCGGACCCGAACATGAGCTACGTCAGGGCGTACATCCAGGCTAAGGACAACGTAACGTTTCCGATACGTAAGTAGTAAACATGGGCTCTTAGAAAGGAAAATACGTTCTAGTATCGGGTTATCCCTAGGACTAGAATATCTCTTACTTGATTAGAACATCCTTTTCGCCTGAGATTGGGATATCCTTATCTATAGCCCAAGTTTCCTTTGGCCCTGAGACCCGACTTAGACATTTTCACGGATATTATGTCTGGTGTGAGATACAATGGACCTAGGCATCAGCTAAGACTTCGATATCCCTACTTGGACTACAATATCTCTTTTATCGAGGTAGGACATCCTTATCGCCTCAGACTTGGATATCCCTACTTAGTTAAGAATGCACTTATCGCCAAAGACGTTGATATCCCGATCTCATCCTGAGATATCTCTATCGAGGTTAGAACATACGTAGCGCCTCAGTCTGGGATATCCCAATCTTGTTAAGAATACCTTTATCACATAAGACTTTGATCTCCCTATCTCAATACTAGAATATCTCTAACTAGGCTAGAACATCCTTTTCGCCTGAGATTGGGATATCCTTATATATAGCCCAAGTTTCCTCTGGCCCTGAGACCAGACTTAGACATTTTGTCAGATAGATGTATGGTGTGCGGTACCTAAGTATCAGCAAAGACTTTGATATCCCTACAATGACTTCAATATCTCTTATCAAGGTAGGATACCCCTATCGCCGCAGACTGTGATATCCCTTTCTAGGACAAGAACATATCTAGTTAAGGTAGAACATCATTAACGAGGCTAGAATATCCGTATTGCGTAAAACTGGGATATCTGTATATAGATGTAGAATATCCCCATCCAGAACAACCTTATCACCAAATACCTTGATATTATCTAGGCTGGAACATCCCTATCGCCTAAGACTGGAATATCCCTTTCTATAATGTAGCTTAGGGCATCCTTAACTAGACTAGGATATCCCAAACTAGGATTGAGATATCCCTATTAAGACCACAACATCATTTATCTAGCTTATAGGACTTGGAAACCCATATTTACAGAATTGGACGTCCCTATCAAGAATTGGGGTATCTCTACCACATCATCTTTGTAGAAACGTCCAATGAAATGGTGTTTGGCTTGGTTGATTTGAGAAATTACAAGAGATCCCAGAGGGATCTTGGCGCCCACCTTTGTACCATCTTCATTAGTTCTTTGTTAGTTCGATCTTTTCTCTTCTTTCCTCTAATCTGTTTGATCGAGTCATGTTAACAGTAAATGCACCTTGAGGTAACTTTTGATCTAAACTTAATACTGATGTGTATGAAAGCCAACCTTCAAAGTGAGTTTGTCATTTCACATATTTACTAGTACAGTACTTAATGTGAAAGAAATAGAATCGATCATTGCAATATGAGAAAGATCTGTTTAGTTCTTCTTTTAATCCATTTTGTTTTTATGATCAGTCTCAAAATATAACATACACAACGAGGGATCAAGGGGAACCTACATTTAAAATTTGAGAAAGATCCCTCCCGTACTTCCTGAGAAATAGCGATAACAAACTTTCACTATCAAAATCCAAGATGGCTGCCTGTCGGCCATGTTGTTTATCCGATCAGTCTCTAAAATTGCCCTGCACAGCTAGGACCAAGGGGAACCTACATATAAAATTTGAGAAAGATCCCTCTGATACTTCTTGAGAAATAGCGATAACAAACTTTCAATTTCAAAATCCAAGATGGATGCCTGTCGGCCATGTTGCTTATCTGATCAATATCAAAAGTTGCCCTGCACAGCTAAGGACCAAGGGGAACCTACATATCAAATTTGAGAAAGATCCCTCTAGTACTTCTTGAGAAATAGCGATAACAAACTTTAACTATCAAAATCCAAGATGGATGCCTGTCGGCCATGTTGTTTATCCGATCAGTCACTAAAATTGCCCTGCACAGCTAGGACCAAGGGGGACCTACATATACAATTTGAGAAAGATCCCTCTGATACTTCTTGAGAAATAGCGATAACAAACCCACACTATCAAAATCCAAGATGGCTGCCTGTCGGCCATGTTGTTTATCCAATCAGTCTCAAAAGTTGCCCTGCACAGCTTAGGACCAAGTGGAACCTACATATAAAATTTGAGAAAGATCCCTCTGATAATTCTTGAGAAATAGCGATAACAAACTTTCAATTTCAAAATCCAAGATGGATGCCTGTCGACCATGTTGTTTATCCGATCAGTCTCAAAAGTTGCCCTGCACAGCTTAGGACCAAGTGGAACCTACATATAAAATTTGAGAAAGATCCCCCTGATACTTGTTGAGAAATAGCGATAACAAACTTTCAATATCAAAATCAAAGATGGCTGCCTGTCGGCCATGTTGTTTATCCGATCAGTCTCAAATGTTGCCCTGCACAGCTAAGGACCGAGGGGAACCTACATATAAAATTTGATAAAGAAATCTCTGATACTTCCTGAGAAATAGTGATAACAAACTTTCACTATCAAAATCAAAGATGGCTGCCTGTCGGCCATGTTGTTTATCCGATCAGTCTCAAAAAAATTCCCTGCACAGCTAAGGACCAAGGGGAACCTACATATACAATTTGAGAAAGATCCCCCTGATACTTCCCGAGAAATACCAATAACAAACTTTCAATATCAAAATCCAAGATGGCTGCCTGTCGGCAATGTTGTTTATCCGATCAGTCTCAAAAGTTTCCCTGCACAGCTAAGGACCAAGGGGAACCTACATTTAAAATTTGAGAAAGATCCCTCTGGTTCTTCTTGAGAAATAGCGATAACAAACTTTCACTATCAAAATCCAAGATGGCTGCCTGTCGGCCATGTTGTTTATCCGATCAGTCTCTAAAATTGCCCTGCACAGCTAGGACAAAGAGGAACGTACATATAAAATTTGAGAAAGATCCCTCTGATACTTCTTGAGAAATAGTGATAACAAACTTTCACTATCAAAATCCAAGATGGCTGCCTTACGGCCATGTTGTTTATCCGATCAGTCTTTTAAGTTGCCCTGCACAGCTAAGGACCACGGGGAACCTACATATAAAATTTGAGAAAGATCACTCTAGTACTTCTTGAAAAATAGCGATAACAAACTTTCACTATCAAAATCCAAGATGGCTGCCTGTCGGACATGTTGTTTATCCGATCAGTCTCAAAAGTTGCCCTGCACAGCTTAGGACTAAGGGGAACCTACATATTAAAATTTGAGCAAGATCCCTCTGATACTTCTTGAGAAATAGCGATAACAAACTTTCACTATCAAAATCCAAGATGGCTGCCTGTCGGACATGTTGTTTATCCGATCAGTCTCAAAAGTTGCACTGCACAGCTAAGGACCAAGGGGAACCTACATATAAAATTTGAGAAAGATCACTCTAGTACTTCTTGAAAAATAGCGATAACAAACTTTAACTATCAAAATCCAGGATGGCTGCCTGTCGGCCATGTTGTTTATCCAATCAGTCTCAAAAGTTGCCCTGCACAGCTAAGGACTAAGGGGAACCTGCATATTAGATTTGAGAAAGATCCCTCTGGTACTTCTTGAGAAATACCGATAACAAGAATTGTTTACGGACGGACGACGGACGACGGACAGCGGACGGCGGACCACGGACCACGGACCACGGACGCAGGGTGATTTGAATAGCCCACCATCAGATGATGGTGGGCTAAAAATGTCATCCTGTCTCAAAGTATGTGTCCCAGTAGATTACAAATATGATCCACGATGTGCTGTAGCATTTTGGAGAATATGCTTTGACCAGCTGGATTTCATACTATTAGAAATTATAAGAATTTAAAAGATTTAAACCCTTCCATTTTTTATAAGAAAAAAAAAGTAATTTTATTTTGTCATTCTATGTGATTTCTTTTAGTTCACGATATATTTTCAAAAAAATGCTGAATATGATGTCATGGTGAAAATAATTGAGACGTTCCATTGACAGCCGGACTTGGTATTGAGTTGGAAATGAAGAGAGAGGAACGCCTTTATTTCCACGAGAAAGATACAGGAGTTAGCTGCAAGTACACAATGGGTCAGATCGAGGCTCTGGTAAAGAGGGCGGGGTTAAAGCTGACGGACACATGGTCGGATGACCAGAAACATGCCGTGATATGCCGATGTGTTCGAGCTATAACCGTTTAACAGAGCTGATGGGCATTGGACGGACGATCAACAAACACAACTGTGGACTGTGTTATATTTTACAGGGTATCTTGCCCACAGAAACCGAATGTATATATATATAAAGCAATATCTATTTATGTAAAGCACGTACGTCTGTGATATCCTACAGTATAATCACTATTATCTGTAAATTTTCTGAACGACCTGCTGCTTTTTCAAAATGACATAAAAACAGTTACGTATACAAAGACAATAAGCAATCTTCAAAATAATACAGCGAAACATTGTGTGCAAACAACAAAAGAATAGATTATATATAAATGGAGCAATGCCATATTACTGCTTATTCTTATGAAATATGGCAATATCTTACAAGGGAAATACATAGCTTGATACGTGTACTTTGTTGTTTGGTATCCACGCAGTGATCCCAGTACAAAGACCAATAACCAAATTCCATGGACACAAACACATGGATTTCCATACTTCCAATCGATCCCCGTTACTTGTCTATGCATGTTCAATGATTTTTACACTTCTATAAATGAATGTCTCAATTTATCTTAAATGCTTACCATGTCGTAGTCGTTATGGTGATTTGAGAATTTAAAGAACATTATGTAAAACGTCTCAGTATTACCTACAAGCTAGGGGTTGTGTTCGATTTGAAATTGAAAGAGAATGCCCAAAGTTGCCCGTACTAAAACATAGCTCACTCGTATCTATGCTATATATTAAACTAACAAGCCTGGGATAACCATGTTCTGTCCCCTTTCATTCGACAAACCAATGTACAATGTAGAACCGCTACGCTCTACGAAACAGTAATGACTACAATAGTCTCCAAGTTAGACTGCCTCATCTTCATATCAGCAAATCATTTTTCGGAGTGTATGCTTACAGGGGGCCGAACGTCCGAGGCGCATAGCTACGGAGGAGGGGGAGCGTATGGGAGGGGGAGTTCCCCCTCCTATAGTTTGATTTTTTTTTTTAGAATTCTACTAGGCCCTAGAAACAATCTCTCGTTTTCTGGGAAATCCTTTTAGTCTGATTATTAACAAGAAAAACACAACTTTGTATATGAAAAAAAAAAATTGTATTTCACTTACTTGTTTTTTACTTAGAATTCTACATAAACCTTTGAGATTTTTCAATATTTTCATAAGACTAAAATGTTCAGGAATATTTAGTTTTCTATTCTTTCCTACTTACGATTAATACAGACGGTCCACATTAATCATTAAAAAATGAAATTAATAAATACATACATGAGATTAAAAAATCTTGATTTTTTTAGTGTATGCTTGAGCATACAAGCATTCTTTTATACTATATAATTGCTGTATAGTCAGTGTAATTTTAAAACATTTGAAAGGCACAGTCCCATGAGTGTTAACGTTCTGTCTCCTTTTATTGTGTCGCCTGCGAAAAGCTGGTGACACATAGGTATTGCTATGTCGGCGTCAGTGTCGGCGTCGTCCGCACAAAGGTTTTCGTGCGAAAACTCAAACTTCATGCAGTGCTTCCTTACCAAAAGTGCTTGCTTGGGATTGCTTTTCAGGTCCGAATGTCAAAGGTCAAGGTCACTGTTACTATAAATAGAAAAACTGTTTTCGTGCGATAACTGGAGTTTCCTTTGGCCGATCAAACTCAAACTTCATGCAGTGCTTCCTTACCAAAAGTGCTTACTTAGGATATCTTTTCATGTCCGAAGGTCAAAGGTCAAGGTCACTGTTACTATAAAAAGAAAATCCCTTTTTCGTGCGATAACCGCTACGCTCTACGGAACAGTAATGAATACAATATTCCCCCGTTTAGACTCTCTCCACTACACATTCTCGATACCATCTAACCGCTGTATGGTCGGTGTAATTCATTTTTAGCATGCTGTGTGTTTTGAAAGGATTCTGCATCTGACTTTTAACATTTATGACAGAAGAGTACTAATTTGAGTTGGAATATAAAACGCTCTTGAATCGTATAATACAATGGGGTATTAAAGGTAAAGGACGAAGCCTGTAAAAAAACAAGAGGTTCAATGTGTCTGTATCCCTCACATGTTATTAAACGTTCTTTCAAATAATTTGTGATCCCCACCCGACTTTTTGGATTGCGTTATACTTTTATTGTCTTATTTCATTTCTTATGTTTTAATTCTATTATATATTTGCAACATCTTATCTGTATTTTAATTCCATATATTCTAAAAAAAAACAAAAAAACAATTGATAAATTTTGTTAATTGATTTCGGTATCATTTTTTAATTCACACTGTAATAGTGTATATTCTGTCAATTTTTATTCTTTGCTATATTAGCATTGTATGTATATTCCACTTCATAGTGTTTTAATCTTAAGTCCTAAGTAATTCTTGTGTGATATACAAGTATTCATTCACTATTAACTGTCTTTTATTTACTTATTCTGAATACTATTTATCTGTGATCACATTTAATCCTTTTCATATATTAACACTTTTTTTATATATTTATTGTAACCAGAAACTTGGGATATGGATACTTTCTTTTTCTGTGATAATTATTACTGCTTTTTATTAATTTATGTGTAAACAGTGATTATCTCCCTTTACTTGTAATATAATGTTATTGTTATTGAACATAATTTTTATATTTGTCATAATAATAGCTCTCAAAGAGCTAATGTTCCTTGTTTACCTGTCTGCGATGTTAAATAAAGTTTCTTGTGTTTTGTGTCTTGTATTCTTGTATCTTGTATAAGTTGGTCAAATGTGTTTCAGCGAAATTTAAAAGCGAGCTAAGCTCACACTACATGTTAAATTGATTATTCAGAAAAAGTTGTTAAAAGCATTTAACTCATTTGACCCTGAAAGCAGATCTAGGTAATTCTTTTGACCAATAAAGATAGCCCATCATCCAAGCATACTATAGGGCAAATATCATTACCCTAAGCTTCTTGGTTGTTGTTTTTAAGAAGAAATGACACCATACGGATGGATACTGACAACAGGTCATGTGTCATGACGTAAGTTTTACTTACCCTTCCGATAGGTGAGATGAAAATATTAATTACTATCAATCTTAAGAAGATATTTTGATGTTTTAAAGGTAATAATTTTGCCTAAATCTAGAGGAGGACAAGATGCATAGAACAACAAAATATAACATAAATTAACTAGAACAATTATCGAAAAACACCATACACTCTTAGATTAATAAGACATTGGTATTACTTTCTTAGATAAATGTATAATGTTTCCTAATATACAACAAGTAGACCTTGTAAAATATACAATATATACTTTATTGCATTGTTTTGTTGTTTACCATTACATGACGAGTCCAGCATACTGCACCAACATATACATGTACAAACGCACCAGCCCCAGACCACTGTTCATTGTAAACAGGGTATATAGACACAAAACAACAATCCCAGAGAGATGTTCACAGCCTCAAAACACCATCTATCTGAACCGAGATCGCATGGTGTCTATCTCAACTGAGACAGTATTGTATCTTTTTCTGTGTAGAGACAAAATGGTGTCTATCTGAATTATTACAATAAGTAAATTTTACATTACATTACAGTGAAGTATCAAAGAATGATTCTAAACCTTTCAAAGAGATTTTTCGTTCTTTTTTTTTTCCAATTATCCACTAGAAGTTTTTTCCCCCAAATAAAATATTACATTTAGCAGTTTAATTTTGTTTAATAACAAAGCAGCATTTGGTTTGAAACAAAACTGCGCTATTATACATCCTCGGTCCCAGGGGAAAATCGCACTTACCGGTACATGTTTTTTTTTATACATTTTTAAATAAGCTTTGTGCGATTTTCCCTTGGAACTGAAGATGGCTATTATATAAATTCCTAAAACCAGCTACACATGATTACAACACTTAAACGACACAAGATGCTGTGTTTCTCTGTCAGTGTAACGGTAAACAACAGATATATCACAGATATGACACAGGTATGGAATACAAGGCGACACGCTCTTAACAAACACAGATCAATGTTAACACTTCACCTCCTCGAACATTTCCTCTGTCACAGGTAACACTACACATTACCATAATCAGTGGCGGATCCAGAGGGGTTTTTTGGGCTTCAGGAAACCCCCCCCAACCTGAGAATTTTCTTTAAAAATCATATATTTTCACCATTTTCCTCAATTTTTTCCAACATGGAACCCCCCCCCCCCCCCCAGGAAATTTGGAAACCCCCCCAGATAGGTCTCTGGATGCGCCACTGATAATAAAGATAGTTCTGGGGAAAGATAATTCAGAACAATCTCTAATTAAGTAAAACAAAACTATCATTGTTACATATCTAGCTGATCAAATTAACTCATTCACGCCTGAAATTTCATAATGAACTATTCAAAACTTTGAATTGAAATAGTTCAAATGTGTCTTCAGGGGTGAATGAGTTAAATGACTTTTGACAGACAACAGTGAACCCTCATTGATCTGGACCCACAAAACGTTCCTTCAAGACAGTTTCAGTGTTACAAGATTAATTACACTCACAGTGTGAATTTAGTTGAAGTGACAAAGTTTTATGAAATTCAATCGAGAAAATGAGTAATTACAACAACTTTGTTGAAAATAAGCAATGTTTCAATTAACATTAAAAACAGTTCATACAATCTGGAAACATAAACCATGTTAATAAGTAAACATCACTGGCTTTAAAAACGGTTAATATACCATACAAACTAGTATAGGTTTCAAACTTTACAAAAAAAAAAAAAATCTTAAACAAAGTTTTTAAAACAAGAAAACAATTATCTTTCATAGGATTGAAGAAATGACAGACAGTGTCAAATAAAGTCTAAGACACTGATTTCATTAAAAATGTTCTTTTTAATGCATGTTATGATAACCTTCTGACCAAACGTATGAACATGGAACTGCTTATTACTTCCCATTCTTCCAATATAATAATTTTCAAAAGAACACAAAATTCATTAACTGACCATGGACTATTTATATGATAAGTAAAAGTCATTCATTTTTTAATAATGGACAAACAATATCCCTTTATCAACTGAATATATTTGTATCTACGAGTAACAACATATATACCTTACATTAACTTTAATCCTTTCACCACTGTAGACCATAATGGACTCATCCAGATCAATGCATGGTAGAGTCTACTAAAGTTACATAGGGGTGAAAGGGTTTAGAGACATGTTTGTATATGCAGACAAAAATCCTTCCACCATTCCCACTCCCTCTACAGGTTCGAAAAAATACCGTAAATGTACTTGTGAATTCAACATCGCTTATCAGGTAACAAAACAAATCTCCAAACATAAAATTTTATAAAGTGAAAATTTGTATTCTTCTTCCTGTATTTCACACAGTTTCATTTTCCCTTTCAGAAAGGAAAATAGAACTGTGTGAAATCAATACGCTATAAAGTATCAACTTCTCTATCCAACAACTTGTGACACAGATATGTACCATGTTAGGAGACATGTTTCTCTTACTTGAACCAATGTATCTATTTTTCACATCGTGAGATATCCTTGTCATCCTAGATTCAAAACAAGGGGATTCCTGTATCATTACAACTGTATGACGTCATGTCAACAAAACACTGACTCTGTAATGTCAACAATACATCATATACATGACAGGGTCAACAGGGAAAGAGAAAACGAATCACTCACCCCCTTGGGATAGAGATTGGGGATCTCAACACTCAGGGGTATAATTCTGAAGTTACCAAATACATGGCAGGCCTTGCAGTGGATGCAAGATTCTACTTATCACATTAGGAGATACATGAAACATGTTGATATAGGTACTAGTGAGTGAGAAATTACCACACTACACTATGATAGACAGAAAATAACACAGAAGTACAACAAATATAACAATATCATTATAAATATAAATTGGGTAGTCTTCGCAAGCTTATGCAATAATACTTAATTAATGAACTGATATTAGAAATTTGAAACAGTGATCATGATTGTTTAATTTGAATCAGGATATGAAATAGTAATTCATTAATATAATTAAGCAAATGCATTCTATGGTTTTTGTAGATTATACTAGTAGGGCTGTTACAAAAACTACCCAATATTTCAGACACAAAGACTTCACTTGACACTCAATCAAAGTACCAAATTATATAAATAAATGGAATAAATACAATGGACGGATAATCTTTCTTTCTTATAACCTGCATATTCAAAACTTTAATGTGAGTTTTTTTCAACTTAACCAATATAAACATAAAGTTACGTGATAAAGGGAGAACAAACAGCAAGCCAGGAATGCGTCTCCATTTTCCCTCAGAAAACTCTTTTCTGTATGACTAACTATAGATACTCGTTCTTTGATCCACAATACATGTACATTATCAAACCAAAATCCTCTGAGAAAACATTCAAATACATGTAAAAACAAAAACACAAAAAACAAAAATGAAGAAATTTTAGTAAAATGAAAATCAATTTTTCATAAATTTCCTTTTTGGATGAAACTAATCCGTTTTGAAATTTAATATTATAATTTTTATTTTTTAAACTTTTGAAGATATTTGACGACAAAAAAATAAGGTAATAGTTTAAAATGATACCTTATAGTCCTAACTTGGCCTTCAACATCAGACTGGTTTAGTATCCAAGCAACAAGTGTAAGTTCAAAATTCAAACAATCACTAGATGCTTAGACAGGCAAGATAACAAATACTGACTTTATATAAATGCTGAATGGCTTCAAAACTGATAATATAAGGTGATTGGATATGATGGAAAACAGTTGTAAGTTTCACTTTTGATCACAAAATTAATCACAATTTTTTTCGAATCTCTCAAACATATGAAAAAACTATAAATATATAACTTGTCTTCAGAGATTATTTCCAGAGATTCTTAAATTTTCTTTAAATGCTTTATGATCACCGGTTGTATATACAATATATCTATATGTCATCGGTATTTGTTTTTCTTAATGAATATTGTGCATGCACCAATTATTATACAATATTTAATTTAAGAACGACATCTGATGAGTGAATAGTTTAATTGATCTAAAGAATATTTTGTGTATTTGATCCCAATATAACAGAAAATCAGTAGTGGAACTTTGCTAGTCTGGCGCTCTTACGATTACTTCAGCAAGAAAATTTCTGAGAAGTTCATCCAAGGTCATAATATCTGTCCAAGCTAACAAGGTGCCACTGCTGTCCCTATGTCCTATCATCACGTGTACAGAGTGACCCGAGCCGACGGCCACAAATGAAGACGCTAGGAGTCGTACATCGTGGCAGAGGCCGTGCCATGGTCTCGCGCCTTGTTGGATGGTGCGTAGCCCGACGTGGAGTTCTTCTTTAGTTGGTTGTAGGTCCAGTTGAGTTGTTCTACTTCCCCCTGGTGGCGTCGTTTGGTCTCTCCGAGGTCCTTCAGTAGGTGGTCGTTGGTCTGGACAAGGGACCTGTTACAGACATGACATACATATAGTTTAAGTTTAACATATAATTATGTAACAGTATGATACCAGGTACATCAACAGAAAACATGTGTCTAAGGTTAATGAAAACTAAAGGATGCTCAACACCTCTAAAACGTTGTGAATTTTTACTTGTTTGTCTACATGTTTCAGCCTGCTATGCGGCCATCATCAGGACCAAAGCAGGCTGAAACATGTAGACAAACAAGCAAAATTCACAAACCCTTCTAGGTGTTGAGCATCCTTTATGTTTCATTATTAGTACAGAGCTCTAGGGAATCCACCCTCGATTCCACCCTAGAACGCTACCACATTTTTCGACATAAGGAGTGTTGGGTCACCGTATTTATTTGTGTATCCAAGAAAAGTAGAATTATAAAAATGAGTCTTGCTTGAATTTCTATAAATTCTAAAATCAGAATATGAAAACGAGACACTTACTATTTAAAAGATGCTATTACAGTTATTCCGTCTCTGCATATTGCAGAGTTATCTTCTCTTGTGAGTAGGAATTGATTGTTATGTCATTGGTTTGTGTGAGAAAATAACCTCGTTTTCTCAAAAATTGATGACGTTACTCTCACAAACAGAGTAAGTTGGCTAAAATGTTCTGTTGAATTTAGGTTTCATTTAGACCCGACAGGTTGTGTCAAATACTGTGTTGTGATCAATATATTGCTGTTAAGATAATGAGCTTGGCTATATTACTAAATGTGAAGTAAACGGTCCCTAGTTATACGTACTTGTGACTCTCCTGTAACATGCTAGCTAGCTCCTGCATCTGTGAATACTGCTTGAGTCGTATCTGTAACATCTCCACCTCATTCCTGAGGATGTCGTTCTGTCGCTTGATCTCCTCTGTAACAGTGAGTGGCATCAAGTTTTTACCCAAAAAAGATTTAACAGCACCATCACAGAGACTATAGTGCTCAGTGCTTAAGTTGAACTGTTTGTACAATGGCATCTAAGTTACAAATTAGTTTGTTACATGCTTGAGTGGAAAAGTCTTGTGTACCAATAACAGCTAAAATACTATGTATTGTCATTTTGCAGACAAACAAATACCGGTAATCAGTTTTGGTCGTATCCTAAAAAACTTTTAAATGCAATATGTTAACTAGGCCTCACCAAGATGTGACTGGTTGACAGAGGACAAAGATGTTGCTGCTGCTGAGAGGTGTCCATTTTGCTGCTCCTGTACTTTCATTTGTAGTTTGCGGTTTTCCCTGACTGTGTTCTGTAGCTCATCTTTTAAGGCCTCCTACAACAGTAAACTGGGTTTTATACTTAACATTCCAAACAAAAATATATTCCATATGACATTGTAGTTTTTTTGTTTTTTTTTACTTCCACACAAAATTATGATGTGTTTTACACTTTATATTCCACACAAAACTATACTGGGTTTTACAAATTCCTTTCCATGCTCGAAGTTTTACTTTTATTATACTGTATATGATTTTTGTTACAAATGGCATAGAAAATATAAAGCCATCAAATATTTGTGAAATTGCATGCAACAAGCTAGGTGACCACAGTAGTTTAACAGAAAGAGAAAGTGCAGATGTCTGGTTTTACATCTCATTCAAGTGATTGATGCCACTGTGTACATACCACAAACAGAAGGTCAATACATACACATGCAAGATGTTTAAAATGCAACAATAGAATTATTTCCCTTTCAAAGATGAAAATTATTTCCCTTCGAATTAATCTATAGTTATTATTCAACAATTGAAGTTAACAATTACAAATTTGTTTTTAGAAATTGTCCTTCGGGAATCTGAAATCCATTAAATGCTACACTAACTAATGACAATATATCTACTCTAACCTGTAATTAACTATGCCTTATATATGTATATATATATTGACATAAAATAAAAGTAATGCACTAGCATGCATGCAAAAGCTTAACAATATCAAAGTCTGAAATGAAACTATAGTTATCTAGCCTAACCTTATGTACTGTGTTACAAAATCATCAGACTATACATAAATCTTTACATAATTTAAATGTATTGCACTAACCCTGCAATAACTACATTGTTTTTTAAGGATGCAAAGAATTTCAGATACTGTAGCTTTCGATGCTAAACCCCCTTTACTTTGCACTGTTATACACAATGTGTTATCTTTTCCCCTTGCAAATAACTTTAACAGTTTTAATTCCAATGTAAGCATGTCACGTTCATGTAAATTAGGAGAGTCTGTAAAAGAGCCTAGCTAAAGGAAACCATACGTCCTGATAGCACCATGTCTAGAATACGTCCTGATAGCACCATGTCTAGAATACATCCTGATAGCACCATGTGTAGAATATGTCCTGATAGCACCATGTCTAGAATACATCCTGATAGCACCATGTCTAGAATACGTCCTGATAGCACCATGTCTAGAATATGTCCTGATAGCACCATGTCTAGAATACGCCCTGATAGCACCATGTCTAGAATATGTTCTGATAGCACCATGTCTAAAATGCGACATAACTCATAGTTTATACACAGTCACTGCAGTATGTAGCAAAAATGCTTTCAGTTGGCTTTCATGATTCATATTGAATATGGATGCCAAACGAGTTATTCAATACTTATATTTACTATATCTTTTCCTAGCTGATATGAATGCCACATGAACATGGTAGAGATATATAGAGGCAGTGCCTTAGAGAAGTCAGTATAATTATTTGACCATGATTTCTCAACAATTCAATTAATTTCTTAAAAGAATTTCTTTTTTCATTATGTGTGGATTTTCATTGTGAAATATAATCATTGAGAAATCATGGTGTGCAGTAGAACAAGCCTGTATAATACTGGTCAAATTGTCCAAAACATGATCATCCATTCTATAGTATCTTATATCAGTCCAAGTTAACAAGCAATGGAACTTCTTCAGGGGAAAAGTTATAAAAAAAAAAATCCCAAAATTTTATAATTTGAATACTTTTTTGCAAAAATTAAATACAGAAATCTTTATTTTAATTTTACACGGTTTGAACGAAATTATTATTAAAGTAAGATGGTTGATCATGTTTTGAAGACGACCAGGCACCGATTTCTTGAAAAACATTCAGCTTAGAGTTAGAATGATTTTAAAATGTTCTTAAGAGTTTTTATGAATATGACTTCAGAAGAAATTTCAGTCAGAGCAAAATCTTTTGCTTTTCTAAATTTACGAAAATATATTTACACTACTTTTACAATTTTTTCATAATGAAACTTGAACAAAAATGATCTTAAATGTTCTTTAAAAAAGAATCACATCATTTAAATAAACACCCTGACAAAAACTACTTTCAGAAAAACTTCAGGTCTGAGCTTAGTTTTTTCAAGACTTTGGAACAAGACTAGAGAGTGAGACAACATACATTGTCTTTGTAAGCTTGATGCAGAGAAGTTTTTAGCTGACTCTCATTCACCGTGCTGTCAGCCAGTGTGTTGCGTGTAATTTCCTCCCTCTTCCTCAACTTGAAGTTCTCTTCACGGAGGTGCGCTAAATCACCTTCCACCTTACTTAAATCCTCACCGTAATTTCTTGCAAAGTTATCTATTAGTTCATATGCAAGACCTATAAAACATGAAAACATTGTATCGTATGTAAATTTCTTAATATGATATAAAGAAAAGTAACTTAAATGTAAAGACATCGTTATTTTGATACTTTATAGATCCTTAACTCATACAACTCTGATATTTCATTATGAACTATTCCAATCTTTGAATTGGAGGAGTTCAAATGTGTTTTCAGGGGTGAATAAGTTAAGTTACTTTTCAAATGAAAACTGTTGTCTCAATGAAGACTTTATGGTTAATTACCTAGCTAGGTAAGTTCAATTTTGTTTCTATAACAAATAGACAAATAACTTAGATGTAAAGACTACTTTAAAGATCCTTAACTTATTCACCCCTGAAATTTCCTAATGAACTATTCCAACCTTTGAATTGGAGGAGTTCAAATGCGTCTTCAGGGGTGAGCGAGTTAATTACTTTTCAAATGAAAACTGTGTATCTCAATGAAGACTTTATGGTTAATTACCTAGCTAGGTAAGTTCAATTTTGTTTCTATAACAAATAGACAAATAACTTAGATGTAAAGACTACTTTAAAGATCCTTAACTTATTCACCCCTGAAATTTCCTAATGAACTATTCCAACCTTTGAATTGGAGGAGTTCAAATGCGTCTTCAGGGGTGAGCGAGTTAATTACTTTTCAAATGAAAACTGTGTGTCTCAATGAAGACTTTATGGGCAATTACCTAGGTAAGTTCAATTTTGTTGATTTTATTTTTTATTTTTTTACAAAACTGATCCCACTTTTTCATCATATTGATATCTGTACCAAGGCCATATTGCCAAACCTCACCTCTAAATTTAATGTTTTTGTGTAGTGATTTTGAGCCATTCCAATATCTATCAACAATGTCGAGCAGTCTTGAAAGTAGCTCTTTTGATCTTGAGTTCTCCCCTTTCATAATTCCATTGGAGACATGTGGTTCATTTGACCTCTGTGACCTCAGGTCATCAGCTGACCTATCTGCCCTTCTCATCCCTAAATCTTCCATGGAATCATGAAACTGAAAAAAAAAGAAATCCTTTCATTTGGGGGCTCACAAACACTCAATAAATTACGTGAGACAATTTTATATCATTACACGAAAAAAAGTCAAAATAAATTAGAATATGAAATGGTTTTTTTTTTTTTTCAAAACTTCATTAAATTTAACCTTGTATAAATTAACACTTTTTGTTACTGTGTTGTTCTTGTTGTTTTCATGTTACAATGGTTTTTTAATAGCAAATTCATAATGACAGCAAATAGTTCTTGTAAAGTCAAACATAATGTACTACACATGCAAAACATGTACGTTTCTGACTGCACAAACTTGTGTATTATAATCTTAAATCAAAAGCTTTGCATGGCTCAGAGCAATAATACATTGACATAACCATCAACTTTTCTTTTATAAAGCTGTTTATAAATGACTGACAGAAATGTACAATTGACCTGTCTTAAAGGGAGCTATCAAAATCCTACTTAACTCAGTATTATGTATGTTTTATGAAGTATTTCGGTGACTTGTGATGTCACAAAGGTGTGATGTTTGAGATCACTGACTTGTATTGATCAGGGACTGCACATTTACTGAATACCATGTATACTATGATGATGTTTTCCACACAGAGGCATTCTTTGTTTTCAATAAGTAAATGCTGTTCTGTATGCAGACAAGGACTGGCCACAAGAATAAACCAGATTGTTTGGAATGCACTCAGAATGCAGGCAGAATTTTTAGAAAATACTTCAAATATCCAGGAATATACCACAAGTTTTCATTCTGACGACATTCTGGCTCGTTCTGCCTCTAGTGTAACTAGGGCTTAATAATTTATTTAATACAGTATATTGAGTGAAAGGTCTTTTTTCCACTGGAATGCTGTCATGAAGTGTACTTTTGTGCAAACATTGTTTACCACAGCACTTAAAACTGGCTTGACAACTGAAAAGAAACCTTCCATTTCTTTAGGAAGGAGGTATCAGCAAGGTAATGGAAAGGTATCTATCTTGCCATTATTAAATTGGCTTGACAATTGAAAAGAAACCTTCCATTTCTAATAATCGTTAAATGTAGTTACATTTTTATCATCAAGAATCTCTCAGTTTTACAAATACTGGTTTTGTTTGTTCTATTTACCTCCTTCCTTGCCGGTGGCTGACTATTTGACCTCTGATGACCTTGTACTGACTCCTCCTCTCCAAACGACCTTCGCCTCTCTGTAGGCACCCGTGGGGGCCCTGGGTAGGGGTCCCGCTCTGTCAGGATCTGACTCTGTGAGGTGTTGCCATTTCCAGCATTTGTTTGTTCTGTCACAGATAAAGTTTTTCTTATTAATCTTTTGATCTCTAAATTGAATTGATCATATCTGCAACATCTTTCACATTCGTGTTACAGATCTGACTGGTAATGACAATGAAAATGTTTGATGTATAGTAGCTTGCTTCAATTTCTTTATATTGAATAGAAACAATGATACATTGTATAAATATAGCTGAATAATGATAAATGAAGTGGAATGAAAGGCTGATCATGCTGCGTTAAGCTTAAGGAGAAATGACAGCCTTACCTTGATTTGGGTTTGCTGTAAAGTAGCCATGACTCTTGAATTTACTATAGGCATCTACTTCGTCCTGGTATTGTAGGTTCTCGTCCTTCCTAAAAATGTTATTGACAATAAAACATCAGATACGTTCAAAGCCATTTCTCATTTGTCATAAACAATAATACATCAAATACAGTACATGCCCAGCCATTTCTTCTCATTTCCTCACATAATGATCAGTAATTATTTCTTCCTCTTTATTTTACATGATCTTAGGAAATTATTACAATTTGAAAGGATGTGTACTGGTTATTGTTGATCAAACAAGTATCAGTTTCAATGCTTTTACATTTTGAATTCACAAATCAACCCCAAGAGTTTGATTTCATCGAAAAAAATAGGTGAAACCTGACACAAGTATTATGTATTGTATTAACTGTCCATTATTTACCAACCTTTGCTGTCTTTCCTCTGTCCCTGTCACTGTCAGGGAGGGAATGTTAGGGTACCTCATCCTATAGGCCTCCTCCCTGCTTCCAGGGTGGGGCTTTGGGGCAGGTACCTCCTGTGAACCAAAGTCAGAAATCAAAGCATAATTATCTATTAGCAAAACGTATTTTATTTTAACAATATACTATCACTCGCAGATAATTACAAGTATCTTGTTTGCCTCTCTGAAAAAATACATTACTGGTATTCACCAAGATGTAGACTGAAAGATATCCTTTTAATCCTATATGCATCATTGACTGATTGTCTTTCACAATAACTGTTCTTAGTTTAATTTCTTGATGTTCACTGATGTTGTTATATTAGATTTGAAAATGAAGTTTTGTGAGCGAGTCTCTGATTTAGTGGGTGAAGTTTTCAACACTCACTTACGAAACTTTCCAAAAGACTAAACCGTAAACCATTACCTACATCCAACCTACATACCTTATCATTTCACAAAACAGCACAAACATCATGACATTACAATGTACCCCTATTGACTTAAACCACATGACAGTTGAAAATATTTATAAATATAAATCGAAGAAAGTGTTTTGTTTTTACTTGTTAAATATCATTTCGAGATTTCTCACTGCAGTAAAAAAAACACTTCCACTCAATATATAATTCCTGATACTTCACTGGTAAAACTGTAATAAAAGATTCCATTTCCTTACTTACCTCTCTATTGTCTGGTGCCGGTCCTCCATCTAAACTTTTTAAAACTGAAATCAGAGGAAGAGTATGATGAAGTTTTAACAAAGTGTCATAGGTTCGAACCTCAGACTGGAGAGAAACATCTTTATTGATCAAACCTTTGCCAAAACAGTTCAATCACTTAAAAAATCTCTCTGCTAACCAGTTTTATGTGTCAGAGGTACAAATATACTTAACTGTGTCAGAGGTATGCTTGAATGTGTCAAAATTGTGTTTCTATCTTTTTAAGCTATGTCTACATAGAAAGTATTTTGGCAAATATAATACTATCTAACATGAAAACCCTTTTCCATTTCTTTTGATTTAGCCATCAAGCTACTATTACAAGCTATTTGAAACAGCCGACTGTTACCTGGTACCTCTTCATTTGACCACCAACTCTGATTAATTTGTTATTAATATTAGCATGCTGAATCAGTATCATTTTGTTAATTAGTTATAAACAAAAGCATACAGGCTTTTCTTCTCGGTAATTAGGCCCTAGTGACATTAGCTTGCTGGTGGGTGCTTATTAGATTACAACCAAGTACATTTATGTTGGTAAATTGTACAGCATTATTCATGTAATTGTGTGCTCCTCAGGAGGATAAACATAATTCACAAAATATCAATAATTTATGTACAGTTAGCTTTAATGAGTTTGATTATTTTTCAAATTAAAATTTTACTCTCTCATATTTGTAATATATTACAATATATTTTGATTTCTATTTACTGTTTCTAGTGTATAATCAAGCATAAGAAATAGTCTACCTACCATGCACAACTTGTTTGTGGTAGAGAACTGATGCATGTTATAATGTTAATTAGTTGATAGGTCGTTGGATGGTACAGTAGTTAGCATACTGGCCATTCACAAAAATTGCTGGGGTATTCTGCCCTTCCTCCCATATGCACTAATTAATATTAGTGATAAATTTAACTTGATAGCTTATTTCATAATTGTTGTAAATTCTCTTTTTACTTATGTTACATGTTCACTTTGTAAATCAAAACCCTACCAGGCAAAAGTGTTATGTTGTAATTTACTTCCACATCCAATTACGGATAATTATGTTTATATTTTATTATAATGGGTAAACATTTGTTTATGATTTATTTGTTTATCTTTTAAGCAAAGCAATTATGTATTTATCAGTTAAATCAGCATTAACTTCATTGTTCTGCTACTGTGTATATATATACCTGATCTAGACGTGCTACCTGAAAAGTACCAAACTATGGTAAAACTTCAAAGGGAAGTTTACCTGTGCTAGGCATACTCGCAGGCAAAACAATGTCAAATATCTCTGGTAAGCACTGATATTTGTTGTAAATTAATTATTCCTATCCAACAAAATCATTGGATTCTAAAGCAACTAATGCTACCTGGTAAAATGGATGCAGCCATAATTACTTTTCATTGAAAGATGCACAACTTTCACTTTCAAGCTAACTTAGGTATTTCTATAAGTCACAAAAATGGAATTCTTTTTTGCTACAACTAAGCATAGCATGTAGCATTAACAATGTAGTGAGAACATCTATTTCTAAAAATTTTAGTTCCACAAATATATTTTGTTGATTTTTATTTTCATGTTTACCGAGAATGTACATTTTTCGTTCCAAATAAGTTTAATAACAATGATCAATTAATTAGGTTTCAAATCATAAACAGCTAGTTTTAAGATATACCTTCTAGAGAATAGTCCTCTGCAGTGGGTTCCCTGGCAGCGGACCCTGTAATATTCCGAGGTCGACTGAGGTCACCACCCGTCCTAGCAATCAGGTCCAGTACGGCTACATCATCATCATCAAGGGCTGTAAGGATACATAACAATGTTTACAAACAATTGATTTCTCACGTTCAACACTGGCACCAATCATTTTTATATAAAGACTTCAATCCTGATCACCTTCATTGACTTCAGTTGTGTCTCAGATACAGGATCTCAAAGATAATGTTATCGATTCAACAAAATGGCAACACTGGGCCACGAAGGATGAGGAGGAAGGGGGTGGAACACTGGGCCACGAAGGATGAGGAGGAAGTGGGTGGAACACTGGGCCACGAAGGATGAGGAGGAAGGGCCACGCCGCCGGAACACTGGGCCACGAAGGATGAGGAGGAAGGGGGGGGAACACTGGGCCACGAAGGATGAGGAGGAAGGGCCACGCCGCCGGAACACTGGGCCACGAAGGATGAGGAGGAAGTGGGTGGAACGCTGGGCCACGAAGGATGAGGAGGAAGGGGGAAGTGGGTGGAACACTAGGCCACGAAGGATGAGGAGGAAGGGGGTGGAACGCTGGGCCACGAAGGATGAGGAGGAAGGGGGAAGTGGGTGGAACACTAGGCCACGAAGGATGAGGAGGAAGGGGGTGGAACGCTGGGCCACGAAGGATGAGGAGGAAGGGGGTGGAACACTGGGCCACGAAGGATGAGGAGGAAGGGGGAAGTGGGTGGAACACCACAAATCATGGTAATTACACAGTTATGCTTCATAAAAGAGTCCCCAGAGTGAGATTCATCAGTCTGGTATGAGAAATAAATATGCTAAGTTTGTTTTGAACACAAAGAGTAATTGTAACTTATTTTTCGAGCTTTTGAAAACATCTGTCCAGCAAAGAGTTTCCGCACTTTTAGCTTGACAAAGGAGACAGAGGTTTCAAAAGCCCAAAACAAACTTATCATATAACAGAACACTGCTTGTGCATTACAATTTGTTTGATCACATATATGTCAGATTAAGGTTTATTTGCTCTATGAAATATTATATTCAAGCCCAAAACTATATACAACCATGCATCCTGATATATTTATAGAAAGCTTACCTGTCATCCCCTTGCCCATGCCCCGTACCATCTCTGCCCGGGGGTGGGGCTGTTTGGGTGGAGGCTCCTCATTGCTGGGTTGGGCAGATATTTCCACAGCTTGACTTGAGCTGAAGTGGACAAGGGCTGCATTCCTTTCTCTGTCCCTCACCCCACGGTCATCTGGTCAGAAAACAATAGAACATCTATATAATCATAGAGGATCAATACTGAAATCCTGTTACAAATGATTTTTGTGAAACAAGTTACAGTGAGTTTTATATTTTTCCGAATGAATCGATGATATAAAAAGTGAACAAATTTGAGATATTTTTTACTATCAAACACACAAAATGATTTTAATGGTGTCATTTGTCAATAATTATCATCTCAACCATTTCTTTCTTCACTTCATAGTTGAGTCGTTACTGACCTAGTTTCTGGAGGTTGGGGAGCATGTGTATGAGGTAAAGTCGGTAGTCGGGTTCTGTACGGGTGACCGGGTTAAGTCGTAAGTCCAGCTCCTTGAGAGACGTGTTGAACCTGAGACGCTTCAGCTCGTCCATGGTTTCTATCCCATTGTAGTAGCTGGTGGTTTGTGTCAAGGATGACAGACACAGCAGACATGGGAGAAAGGGTCAACAGCCAGTTCAAATATTCATATTCAAAATATTATAATTTTGTAACTATAGTTACACTTGAGACTATCACTGCATATCAGCAAATTATTGAACATTTATCTACAAAAAACATAATACATAAATTTTATTACCTCTTTACCAAACTTTAAGCCTCACTCCTTCCATTAATGTTTACTTTTACCAAAAACATTGAGAATGAAATTACTGCAAGTCTTCTCACTCACAACTTATCTTGATCTTTGCAACATTTTGTTAATTGTTGATCACATGACTAACCATCAATACACAGAGATTATCCATGTAATGTGATTATTTTTCAGTTATGGCAATATGCTATTTAAATTTATAGAGTTCCACAACAGACTAAAATGTTTTAGCCAAAAGGAAGCATATACTCAACAAGTTACAGCACTAGAGGAAACAAGACTCTAAATAGTAAGCACAAGGGATGGTCATGTTGGCGAGATATTAACCACATTTTCTTTAAACATGACTATGGGATAAATAGACCTGGTAGGTATAGTGAACAGGACAAGGATACAGGTTCAGCTTCTCCAGTAGCTTTAGATGTTCCATTCCCTGTAGAGTGTAAAATAAAGTGTCAGAACTTTTATGAGCACATTTTTATACACACATACTTATGGAATTATTGAAATACTCTATAACCAAGTACATGAAAAATTGTGTGGTCGGTGAATCACCAAGATATTAAAATTGATATACATGATAGATAAAAAAAAATCATGAACAATGATGTAGATAAGGTTGAGTACAATGTTTAGTATATTTACGCATACTTTAATGATACATACAACTGACAAAATAAATTATGTGCATTTTGATCAATCTTAATACATACCTACAATTAATACAAAGTATCAAAGGTATTTGACATACATGTAATAAGAGATGTGGTAAAGGGTATTTAAAAACATGTACAAGTTGGGAGAATAAGTGATTAAAAAACTATTAAAATTCTAAAAGAAATAGCCACAACACATTTTTTTACAACTAACCTGGTAAATTATGATCTCAGACCAGAAAATAGAGGATGCTTATATAGGAGACGGGATGCATATTAGAGCAAATACAGTTTCTTACACTTGAGTGGAGTACATACCTGTAAACATATTAAAGCATTCCGAGACAGGTCAAGACTTTTCAGACGAGAAAACTTTCTAAGTGAGCCTCCCAGACTGACAACTTTCTCATGGTAGGTTCCTGGTAGTGACAGGGCCTTCACATCCTCTGTAAAACACAATATATTTACAATGAATGTTTTGTATAATGTTAAAATAATAAAATACTATTGAAGATTAAATATTTATTGTAAAAGATGATTGGAATCAAAAAGAATTAATAAGGATTGAATTAATTGATTTTTTTTTCATTAAAAAGTTGTTTAAATGTCAACTTCACAACAGTTAAAATGATCATACAACAACAGAAATACCAAAATGTATCTGCTGACTGAACTCATTGCAACATGATTGTAAGTTTCTCCTTATTCTTTTCTCTATATATCTGTCTGTTTATTACTTTTTAACGCTTTCATTTTTGTCTCAATCAAGACAAGTCTGGTTCACATGTGACTTGATGATTGACATATGCTTAAACGTGAATGCACAGGAGTCTGAGATTAAAAAATATTTTTTGACAAAATTTTGACTCCTGTGGTAAATGTTCCAACATTTCATGACAGTTATGGTGTACATACCACGTTACGTACATGTAAATGGGGCTTGGGAGTCGAGTAGCCCTATAATATTGACTCTCGTTATTGCTTAGATTCAAAAGTGATAAACCATCAATTTTTAATGAACAAAAATACCTTGTAGTTTTGTATGCTGCATGAAGCTCTATATGTGCAGTTTGTTGTTTATAAGCTTGAATGTTGTGGATGACCAATTGTGTACACACGTTTAATTAGATAATAGTCAGAACTGATTAAGGGTATACATTTAATATTGAAGTGATAAGAAGAAAAGTAGTTGATATGGTCCTGTACTAATGTACATATATGTATCATAAATATGTCAGTTGAGTTCATACGTTGTGATTTATTACGCCGATCACACGCGCTAAACATGTTTCGACATGCAAATTACTCAAAAACTATCAAAGTCAGTGACAGATGTTCGAACATAAGCATAAGTGATAAAATCCTTGAAAGTGATACAAGATGTTCACTTTATATTGCAAATGAATATAAATATTAAAATGGTCATTTGTTTCACCATAAATCCGGGAATCATGCACCTGCAAAGTGCTTGCAAAATATTATTTGTAAGCACCCGCTCTAACATGATTTTATACAGGATCAACTGACAGCTTCTGAAACTTGGATTGACTTGACAAGCAACCCCTGAGTTACTTAAACGCAATACATTTAAGGTCTACATTACCTAAGTTGTCATGCTGCAGATTCACTCGATTCCGGATGATTTCTTCCGACAAAGTGAGGGCTTCGTTAGCCATGTTTGTTTTCAAAACACCCGGACTGAAATGTACTTAACACGAGCAAATTCCGGGCTGAGTATCTGAACGAGATACGACTGACATTTCAGTTTTTGTTCATATAACATTTAAAATGGGGCAAATTTAAATAAAATTACTTAATTTTTACGCTGTTTTCATAGCGAGACAAAATCGGACGATTCGCAAAGGAAATGCTACTTTTTAATGAAAATATCTACTTTAACCTGGCTTGACAGCTCCATTACTGACTCTGAGATCAATTGATATTGAGGGGTATGCTGTCCTACGCAGAGACAGTAAATTATATCGTGTATTTTTTTTACTCTGAAAAAGCCTTCGATAAAGTATGGCGCAATGGCTTGTGGAACAAGATGTTAATGAATGGAATTAATGGGGAAATGTTAACAATTATTTTTAACATGTATCAAGGCATTAAGTCAAATATATTTTTTAATGGTGAATGTACATGTTCTGGTTATTTTCCATGTGAAAATGGTTTGAGACAAGGAGAAAACCTATCTCCCTTTTTATTTAGTCTGTACTTGAAAGACCTCGAAGAGTTCATGATGGTCCGAAATAACGTTCAGGGTTTGACAAACCTTAGTACTAAATTAGAAAATGATTTACATGTTTACATAAAGCTTTTTATTTTACTCTATGCTGATGATACACTTCTTTTCTCAGACTGTCCAGTTGACTTGCAACTACAATTAAATGAATTCAGGGACTGATACTGAACAGTGGAAATTAAAGGTTAATATAGAAAAAAAGAAAAAATGTATAGTATTTAGTAAAGGACGTAAAAACAATAGAAATGTATTTTTATTTAATAATGAGCTGGTGATAGAGTTAGTGGATACTTTTACCTATTTGGGTACGGCATTTAGTCGTATTGGTTCATTCAGTCACGGACTTAGATAATCTAATTCCGTGGTTGTAGTTATTGCACGGAAACAAAGCGCGGCAGATACTGACGTTTTTCATTATTCAAGGGGCCATAACTCCCCCAAATGGGGTCCGCTGAATATGGTCATCGAACTTGGCCGAGCCCTTAAGCATTTAAACCTGTGACCAAGTTTGAAGAAAATCGGTTAACATTTGTTGTAGTTATTGCATGGAAACGAAGCGTGACAGACAGACAGACAGACAGACCCAAATTAATATCCATCGGTTTGGTGAAAGCGGGGGATAATAATTATTATGTATGTTGTATTGTTTTCTATATAAATGGAAATACAATTCTACCGATCAATTACTAATATGTTACACACATATCCTTTTCTGTGCTATCTGAACCGTTACCGGATTGATTTTCTTATTTTTTCTTATTTTTGCCTTTCTTTTCTTCCATTTTTAAAGGACCCCATTGGAAATAAGCCACTTTGTGGCTTTTATGGGTAATCCTTGGTAAATGGCAATCACCACCACTCCTATCATGCGACCTATTTATATCTACCTTCATATACTAAAAATAGTCTGTCTCATTTTATAGTAATATCTGCCTTTTTTTACAGTGTATTAAACTTATTTTAAGATTTTAATACTCTGTGATATATGTCAAGGATTGAATTAAGAAACCTTTTATTATGATAGATCTATTATTATTCTTAGTCTTAATACAAGCTGTTCTTTTTTATTTACAAGCTGCATTGTGATCTTAATTATATGTTTTATTCTAAATTGTGATATCTTGTAATTATATATAATAACATGCCTATTTTACCTGAATAAATATTATTATTATTATTTAACCAAGACAACCGGTGTTCGATTTCCTTGAGGTATTGGGTCACCTGCCAGACCACGTGGGTTTTCTCCAGATATTCAGTTTTCCTCAAACATTGCGGTCCTTTGTGCTCTTTCCAACCCGGTTAACAAAAGTGATTAATATAAGTTAAAGTAACTTGTTGCATAATTGTTCTAAAATAAATACATTCCAGCCTCAACGGTGTCAGGTCGTTTAATTCGGTAACAAGTCGTTTTGGGACTTAAATATAATATCGAGTCGTTTTGGGACATGTCGAAAGACGTTTAAAAGAGTAAGGGGGTCCCGTGTCCCAAAACATTAAGTGACATTTTAACGTTGGCATTTAACGTTGGCATTTAATCTATGCATTGCCGCTCATAATATATGTTTTCGAAATAAAATGTAACTGCTGAAATTTTGCAATTTTCCACACAATGTTGATAATATTCTTCGACAAGTATTTGAATGTATTCCTTGATGAACAACGGTTTACTTATATCCAGTCATATTAATTAAGTTCCGAGATAACGAAATATAACATAAATACTATGGGCGGCCGTTTTGGATAAAATACCAAAACTACTTAATGGCAAAAAAATCACATACTGGCAAAAAGTAAGTGATTTTTTTACCAGTATCTGTTTTTTGTCTCACCACCACGAAGTAGCGGAAGCGAAACTAAGGTGTTGCTTTTTTCCGGCGGCGGCGTCAACATTAAGTTTTTGCGTTTAAGTTAGTTTCACTGAAAGTATAAGTGCTACACCAACCAAATTTGAACCATAGATGCATCTAAGATATTACATCTCAACCCATGCATCAAATGCTGGATGCGGCCTGCCTTTCATGGTCCATTGACTTTGTCAGCATCTCCATCAACATTAAGTTTTCGCGCTTAATTTAGTTTCTCTGATAGGTGCATGGATGGTCAAAGCGAGGCACAGGCAAGGCATATCAATCCGAATATGGCATTTTATCCTAAAACGGCCGCCCTTAGTATTAATGTTATATTTCTTTACCTCGGAACGTAATATGAATGGATATGATTGCACATACTGACAAAAACGTTTGTTTGTCATTATGTAGTAATCTATTTGCATTATGTACCTTCGCACTTAAGTACAAAAAAATCCTCATACCTAAAAAAACAAGAAAAACAAGTGGAAAAAAAGACGTTTTGCACTTACGTGCAAAAAAACCAGGACATAATGGCAAAAAAGGTTTAGTCATTTTGTAGTGCCTTTAACTATTTGTTCTTTTGCACTCAAGTACAAAAAACTTGACGTAATGGATAAACTTGTCATTATGTAGTAATATTTTACTTTTTATTCTTTAACGCTTGAATGTAAAATGTTTTTAAACTTAATAGTTAAAGATTACTACACAATGACAAAAAGTTTTTGCCATAATGTCAATTATTTCGGTATTTAAGTGCAATTTTTTTTACACTTACATAGTAAGTTAAAAAAGCACATGCTAACCATTACGTCTTTTTTAGCTTAAATGCAAAAAAAAATCAATCACTTAAGCAGTATTGGTATTTTATCCTAAAACGGCCGCGATAATAATAACTGAACGGACGAAAGGGCGGACCAAAGAAAAACAAAAAAACAACATCCACGAAACAGTTTAATTGTGAGCGTAGCTGGATTATCGAGGATGCCTCCAAGATCACCTTCAGATATAACGTAATGGTTGCTCTCATACCTATGAGTTTTGGTGCAGATTACCAAATATGAAGACATAAAAGAGAGACAAAATAAGGCTATCTTAATTCTTATTTTTCTAAAAGTGAAAATAAAGTGTAATTTAAATGTAGCGGAACTGGACTGGGTCGATCGTCGGCGACTAGGTAGCTCAATTGGTAAAGCGTCCGTCTAGAGTTTCGGAGGGTTCCGGGTTCGAAACCAGGTCTGGCCGTGCATTTTTCGTTCATATTAGTATTACAGTTGTGCCTGTGACCAACCCTTGTTTCAAGCATTTGGTGTATGCTTGACAAGGGGATACCCGAACCTGGAGTGTAAATAGTTGTGTCTTCGGGGGCGAATATTTAGAAACAGGAAGGATGAAAGTAGCGGATCTGGACTTGGTCGATCGTCGGCGACCAGGAAGCTCAATTGGTAGAGCGTCTAACTAGAGTTCGGAGGGTCCCGGGTTCGAACCCAGTTTTGGCCGTGCATTTTCCCACTCCTATTACATACAGATATTTTTGTTTCCTACAGTTATTCGGGCTGAGATTTCCTTATATCACATGGTAACCGTATAAGTGAATATACTCATGTCATTTATTATTACATATGAACTAACTTGAGTTGACCTATTATATAAAATACATATATATGACGAAATGATAATAAAATTATGTCTCTTCCGAATCATATCACATGAGTATGAATTTCTGTCAAAAATTAATAATAACAGTAATGCATAAAAATAATAATAAGCTGAAGAATTAGCATATCATAGGGGTTTATTTATGGTATAACTGTTGTTATTAATTTTTGACAGAATTTTAGACTCCTGTGATTATATTGAGACATCACACATTAATAGATGTAAAGCCAAGGTTTATTTTTTACAAAGGTACTAAAATTCTTATCGTGATACTCTGAGATTCTCTCATCTATTGAAACTCGCGTAATTTGATCATTTACAATTTCCTTTACATTATGAACTCCCTGTCGGATCAACTTAATGACTGTGAATTATCATTCGATGGCTGAATGGTCCGAAATTTCAATGACCGAGTTGCCTCCCTTCATATTTGTGGTTCGTTAACTGATCAACATCGATCTTGTGTCGAGTACGATCACTATAAACAATATGGCCGTGTGTTGTCAGTGCTCTGCCAAAAACATTGCATGTAAACCGTAGACCTAGCTTTGTAATTTGAATACACGATGAATCCTCACAAAAGTGTTATGTTCAACTATTTGTCGAGTCACAAGTCTACACCTCCACGTTCAGGAGACCAGAAGACGAGGTAAAAGAGTTTTACATTATTTTGCGTTACTCTGTAAACTGAAAGTAGGGGTTCTGTATGCGTAGCGGTTAGAGTCTGAGATCCCTGGTTCGAATCCCAGCCTGTCCGTTATATTTTCCCGTTCCTGTCACGTATGTCAAAAAAATGTAGCTCAAATGCAAGTTTCCTCTGGCCCTGACACCAGACTTTGACATTTTGACTAGCACCAGACATCTATAAAATGTCTCAACCTGTTGTCAGGGCCAGAGGAAACTCAGACTATATTGGATAGAGATGATTTCTATCTCAGCCTCATTAAAAAAAATCAACGATGAGGTTATCAGCTATTTAAGACTATATTCCCTACTGAACTGTGTGCATGCATGTTTCACTCTGGTGAAGTACATGTAACTTCATACACATAGACAATATCAATTTTTAATTCATATATCTTATTAGAGTCTGGTCTAGAGTTACTGAGTGGTAGCAGAAATAAGCCTGTATCAAAATTGAAGTTAACTATGAACATCACAATCAGCCTTGTGTGATGGAAGCATTCTCACATGTACTGTGAAAACGAAGTGTCAAAGTTTATTACATGCTATATATATCATTATTAATATACATCTCAAATGTTTTTTGTTTATGTGGGAGACGTATATTTTCATACTATGTTCTGGTTACTGTTTCAAATAATTCTGCTTAAATATGTCTGAATGTTACAATGAAGTGCCTTGATCTGTCGATAAATCTAAATTTCATTTCTATTTAATCAATATTGCAATATTTTGCAGTACAAAATGCCTTTCACTTAATCATAAGTAATATACATACATTTCTTTTTTTTGGGGTAACTTTGGATATGTTTTGTTATATATCAGTACTGTAGGGATACTTTTTCTATACTATAAGCGCTGTTTTCTTTTAAGAAAAACACCAATTGGCACTAGTTCCAATACAAAGAGATCAGCTAATCTTCCTCGCCATGGGTTTCACACTTCATCAAAACATTCCACAAGGACGTCACAACGAAAGGCAACTATTCATGAGTAAGTTTTGCATGAAGCCTATGTTATATAGAATCACCAAAAATATAACAGGAATTTGAATATGTAATATTGAAAATGTAAGTAATAAAAAAGGTGAAATTAAGAAGCAAATTAATATTACTTTATACTGTTTCTAACAAACAGCTGTACGAATGAATGAAAAGTATTGGCTCAACTGGCAGTGAGCTAATATAATATTATTGTCCATTACATATATACTTTCAATGTACTGTACACATCCAACATAGAAATTTAAAAAAGATTCCTACTTCTTTTGTAGGATACCAGATGAAGTCCTTTTGAAAATATTTAGTTTCTTTGGTGCCCAGGACCTGATTCTGGTGTCTCAAGTTTGTCAGCGATGGCGGAACTTAGCCAACGACAAGTATGTATCATCCATATTTTTCCGTGTCATTAACTGATCCATCTTTACAAATGTAGTGATGCTAGTCGCTAGGAAAGAATTGGTCTATCAGAACTACTCATTTCAGTGGTTTCTCCTTTATTCTGAACAAATCATTTTTGAAATGATAACTGGTCAATCTATAGTTCATACAATTTTTGAAAGTTTGATGTTTGTTTGATTTCAGTTCATTATGGAAGCCTATTTTCTTGAAGTACGCTCCAAAAAGTGAAGCTGAAGCATCAGGAGCTGGCAATGTTACCTCAGTATCTCAACTCAAGACAACCTGCATTAGAAGGTGACTGTGCTCAATTGGTCGTTTCTTTGTCATGTGTGACTGGTTTTTGTATTACAGTGTGCATTTCAGGGATTTATCAGTTTATATTTGGAAACAGATCCACTGCATGTCCACATTGGCAAAACTAGGAAAATGTTGAATAACTCATTCACCCCTGAAGACTCATTTGAACGCTTCCAATTCAAAGGTTGGAATAGTTCATTATGAAGTTTCAGGCGTGATGAATTAACTGTGAAATAAATTGCATTGTTTATTTATTGTATTAAGTTTATATAATTCATAATCTGTTAGAAAATAGGGAATTTCAATCCTAACAATTCAAGGAGGGGGTATATATTTGTGGTGTTTGCTAAGCTTGTATCAGTCAAGGTAAATAGACTGCTCCCATAATCAATATCTTAGGTACCAGATGCTCATAGAAGATATTATAAACTCTTTGTCAAAACAGAAAAGTAATGTTATGAGATACTCTGTATCAAAATGAATGTCAAAGTCCATTTATTTCCAATCATTGTTTAAAGTTCACACATCTTTGGTGTTCTAGATGTGTTGAACAGAGGAACAAAAGAGTGTTTAGATATCTGAGGAAAAAGAGTCCATACACAGGAATCACTCAACAACGAGATGTGGAAAAGGCCTTGATGTGAGTTAACTGTAGGTCCTCACTCATAGCCAAGGACTAGTAAGTAGAGATGTGGAGAAGGCCTTGATGTGAGTTAACTGTAGGTCATGATTATCACTCATAGTCAAGTTAGGACTAGTAAGCAGAGAGATGTGGAGAATGCCTCGATGTAAGTTAACTGTGGTCATCACTCATAGCCAAGGGCTAGTAAGTAGACAGATGTGGAGAAGGCATTGATGTGAGTTAACTACAGGTTATAACTCATAGCCAAGGACTAGTAAGTAGACAGATGTGGAGAAGGCCTTGATGTGAGTTAACTACAGGTTATAACTCATAGCGAAGGACTAGTAAGTATACAGATGTGGAGAAGGCCTTGATGTGAGTTAACTACAGGTTATAATTCATAGCCAAGGACTAGTAAGTAGAGAGATGTGGAGAAGGCCTGTATGTGAGTTAACTACAGGTTATCACTCAAAGCCAAGGACTAGTAAGTAGACAGATGTGGAGAAGGCCTTTATGTGAGTTAACTACAGGGTATCACTCAAAGCCAAGGACTAGTAAGTGGACAGATGTGGAGAACGCCTTTATGTGAGTTAACTACAGGTTATCACTCAAAGCCAAGGACTAGTAAGTAGTGAGATGTGGAGAAGGCCTGTATGTGGGTTAACTACAGGTTATCACGCATAGCCAAGGGCTAGTAAGTGGACAGATGTGGAGAAGGCCTTTATGTGAGTTAACTACAGGTTATCACTCATAGCCAAGGGCTAGTAAGTGGACAGATGTGGAGAAGGCTTTGGTGTGAGTACTGTAGGTCATGATTACCACTCATAGTCAAGTTAGGACTAGTAAGTAGACAGATGTGGAGAAGGCCTTGATGTGAGTTAACTACAGGTTATAACTCATAGCCAAGGACTAGTAAGTAGAGATGTGGATAAGGCCTTGATGTGAGTTAACTACAGGTCATCACTCATAGCCAAGGACTAGTAAGTAGAGATGTAGAGAAGGCCTTGATGTGAGTTAACTGTAGGTCATCACTCAAAGCCAAGGACTAGTAAGTAGACAGATGTGGAGAAGGCCTTGATGTGAGTTAACTGTAGGTCATCACTCAAAGCCAAGGACTAGTAAGTAGACAGATGTGGAGAAGGCCTTTATGTGAGTTAACTACAGGTTATAATTCATAGCCAAGGACTAGTAAGTAGAGAGATGTGGAGAAGGCCTGTATGTGAGTTAACTACAGGTTATCACTCATAGCCAAGGACTAGTAAGTAGACAGATGTGGAGAAGGCCTTTATGTGTGTTAACTACAGGTTATAACTCATAGCCAAGGGCTAGTAAGTGGACAGATGTGGAGAAGGGCTTTATGTGTGTTAACTACAGGTTATAACTCTTAGCCAAGGGCTAGTAAGTGGACAGCTGTGGAGAAGGCCTTTATGTGAGTTAACTACAGGTTATCACTCATAGACAAGGGCTAGTAAGTGGACAGATGTGGAGAAGGCCTTTATGTGTGTTAACTACAGGTTATCACTCATAGCCAAGGGCTAGTAAGTGGACAGATGTGGATAAGGCTTTGGTGTGAGTACTGTAGGTCATGATTACCACTCATAGTCAAGTTAGGACTAGTAAGTAGACAGATGTGGAGAAGGCCTTTATGTGAGTTAACTACAGGTTATAACTCATAGCCAAGGACTAGTAAGTAGAAATGTGGATAAGGCCTTTATGTGAGTTAACTACAGGTCATCACTCATAGCCAAGGACTAGTAAGTAGAGATGTAGAGAAGGCCTTGATGTGAGGTAACTGTAGGTTATCACTCAAAGCCAAGGACTAGTAAGTAGAGAGATGTGGAGAAGGCCTTTATGTGAGTTAACTACAGGTTATAACTCATAGCCAAGGACTAGTTAGTAGACAGATGTGGATAAGGCATTGATGTGAGTTAACTACAGGTTATAACTCATAGCCAAGGACTAGTAAGTAGACAGATGTGGAGAAGGCCTTGATGTGAGTTAACTACAGGTCACCACTCATAGCCAAGGGCTAGTAAGTTTGGGACATCATCCAATACCTAAGGGTAAATAGAAATAAACAACCTTGTCTCAGCAGATGACACCTATATCTTAAACAACTAGGGGACAACACCTATATGCCATTGTTACCAGGAAATGACACCCTTACCTCAGGGTTTCTATGAGATATCATCCATATCTCAGGGTTTCTAGGGGATATCATCCATATCTCAGGGTTTCTAGGGGATATCATCCATATCTCAGGGTTTCTAGGGGATATCGTCCATATCTCAGGGTTTCTAGGGGATATCATCCATATCTCAGGGTTTCTAGGGGATATCATCCATATCTCAGGGTTTCTAGGCGATATCGTCCATATCTAAGGGTTTCTAGGGAATATCGTCCATATCTCCAGGTTTCTAGGGGATATCGTCCATATCTCAGAGATTCTTCAGGATATCGTCCATATCTCAGGGTTTCTAGGGAATATCGTCCATATCTCCAGGTTTCTAGGGAATATGGTCCATATCTCAGAGATTCTTCAGGATATCGTCCATATCTCAGGGTTTCTAGGGAATATCGTCCATATCTCAGAGATTCTTCAGGATATCGTCCATATCTAAGGGTTTCTAGGGAATATCGTCCATATCTCCAGGTTTCTAGGGAATATGGTCCATATCTCAGAGATTCTTCAGGATATCATCCATATCTCAGGGTTTCTAGGGGATATCGTCCATATCTCCAGGTTTCTAGGGAATATGGTCCATATCTCAGAGATTCTTCAGGATATCATCCATATCTCAGCGCTACTAGGGGATATCATCCATATCTCAGGGTTTCTAGGGGATTACCCAAATACCTCAAGTCATTGTTACCAGGAGACAGCATTCTTACCCTAGGGTTTCTAGGGGATATCACACATATCTCAGGGCTATTAAGAGACATTCCCATTTAATTCTCAGGATTACTAGGGGTCATCTGATTCACCCTTATCTCAGGGATACCTAAGGAAATTGCCCCTAATTTATCTCTGGGAAACTAGGGGACGATACCCATATCTCGGGGAAACAAGGGGGCGATACCCATATCTCGGGGAAACAAGGAGACAAAACCTTTATCTTATGGTTATAGGACACAACACAGATCTCGGGGTAACAATGACACATCACTAATTCCTCAGTGTTACAATGTAACATCACTAAAGTCCTTGCTAACTAAGGGACATCACCCATATCTTTTATGGTACATTAGAGACAACTCTTATATCAAAGATCACTTGGGATAGCATCCAATCCTGTACAACTAGGGAGAACTGTCACATCACCTGGCTATTTATAAGTGTTGGAAGGGACAGCATCCACATTGTGGCTGCTAGGGGAGAGCTGACATTATCCATATCCTGAGAGTTTCTAAGAGCTAGCTATTGATTCAGTAAACTAAGTAAGCCTGCCTGATGGTCACTTAAGAATAGATGTACAAAGATTGGTGGATGTTTTCCAGAGACTCGTGTGTGTTTTGGCAGCTGGCGTTTGTTGATGCCAGTGACAATGAGGTGTGTGTGCAGAGTCGTGACCTGTCCGTACATACAATGGCTGCCTCCGTCCGCTGGTACGATTTCAGTGCTCAGTCCCTGCAGAACACTAAGGCCATCAGAATCTACTCATGCAACCCTATCTTCTTTGATACCAAGAAAGGCTGTGCTGTTAAAGACAGGTATACTTTAATCATAAAATAAATAATTGTTTTTCGTTAATCTAATATAAACACAATGCAATAAAATGAATACATGTAAAGTGGATTTGATCATATATCTGGAAATATATTTTGCTTTAAGTGTTATATTATTTCTGTTAATTATCTGTATCATTTATTATTTCTTGAACTTTCCTCATATTTCTTATAACATGCTTTTTGACCTTTTCCTTTGACCTTGACCTAGTCCTTACCAGAGGTCACTGCTGAAGACCTTTCCTCTGAAATGGAGTTCTTGGGTGAGCACCAACAAACCAGTAGGGGAGAACGACACCATCAACATATACTCCCTCCAAAGGGGACTCGCCATAGCTGTGTGGAAGGTAATCAAACATGTATCCCCACCCCAGGGGACTAGTCATAGCTGTGTGGAAGGTAATCAAACATGCATCCCCACCCTAGGGGACTAGCCATAGCTGTGTGGAAGGTAATCAAACATGTATTCCCCCCCCAGGGGACTAGCCATAGCTGTGTGGAAGGAAATCAAACATGAATTCCCACCCCAGGGGACTAGCCATAGCTGTGTGAAAGGTAATCAAACATGTATCCCCACCCCAGGGGACTAGTCATAGCTGTGTGGAAGGTAATCAAACATGTATTCCCACCCCAGGGGATTAGCCATAGCTGTGTGGAAGGTAATCAACCATGTATCCCCCCCCCAGGGGACTAGTCATAGCTGTGTGGAAGGTAATCAAACATGTATCCCCCCCTCAGGGGACTAGCCATAGCTGTGTGGAAGGTAATCAAACAACATAAATCCCCACCCCAGGGGTCTAACCATAATATTGTGGAAGGTAATCAAACAACATATATCCCAACCCCAGGGGTCTAGCTATAACAGTGTGGAAGGTAATCAAACAACATGTATCCCAACCCCAGGGGTCTAGCTATAACAGTGTAGAAGGTAATCAAACATGTATTCCCACCCTAGGGGACTAGACATAGCTGTGTGAAAGGTAATCAAACAACATGTATCCCTTACCATAACAGTGGCGAAGGTAATCAAAAAACATGTATCCCCACCCCAGGGGTCTATCCATAACAGTATGGAAGATAAACAAACAACATGTATCCCCACCCCAGGGGACTAGCTATAACAGTGTAGAAGGTAATCAAACATGTATTCCCACCCCAGGGGACTAGCCATAGCTGTGTGAAAAGTAATCAAACAACATGTATCCCAACCCCTGGGGTCTTACCATAACAGTGGTGAAGATAATCAAACAACATGTATCCCCACCCTAGGGGTCTAGCCATAACAGTGTGGAAGGTTAACAATGAGTATGTACTTCGTCCGAAGTCTGAAGCACACAATTTAGTACTTTATCAATCAATATGTGGAGATTGATTCAAAATCTGTTAATTTTCATAATCATTAATACATTTTTTTACATAATTATAATAATACCTTGACTTACTTTTCTTACTGAAAAAATGATATATGATTAAGTGCTAAATCTTAAATACAACAAACTACATTGGACCTTAAACATGACTTCTAACTAAAATGAGTTAGGAAATATAATATAAAGTTTGGTGTTCATGAGATAATTCCCTACCAAGGGAAAAAGAACTCTATTATGAGAAAGTTATGTACAAAATTATAAGCATGTTCATATGTGTGATTTACTGTATATGTATAATTCTAATGGTTGGAGTATTAAAAGTTACCATGGATGATAATTGTTATTATGAATTTCTACAATTATCCATTACAGGACGGAGGAGAGGTGGCGTTTATCTGTGTTGGTTTTAACTTGCACCACCTGGTGGACCGATGTCTGAGAGGGAACTCAGTAGCGTAAGTATCACAGTCCTGTTAAGTTAAGGCCACTATTCTTACAGAAAGGGGCATGCATGTCAATTATCATACACATTTATAGGGAACTCAGTAGCGTAAGTATCACAATTCTGTTAAGTTAAGGCCACTATTCTTACAGAAAGGGGCATGCATGTCAATTATCATACACATTTAAAGGGAACTCGGTAGAGTAAGTTTCCCACTCCCCTTATGGCGATTATTTTTACCCACAGGGGTATGTCTACATGTACATTTTACTTACAAAACATAATTTTGACTAGTTACTGTCACTCAATGTCTACATGTGGCCAAGGAATTATTATTCAATTTTAATTAAGTAAAAATAAAAATGCTGTGTTCAATATATGGATTGCTGGTCTGGTTTTGAACTTTAACTTTTTAAGCAGAACTTTTACCATTTATTTAAAGTCAAAATGGTGGAAAAATATAAATCTTCAGGATCAAGATCTGTTTGGATGATATCTTCATAACAAACAGCTCACATCAAAATGGAATAGATTCAACACCAGGTCACTGATATCTTTAAAAGAACTTGGCTATTGATATGTGCATAATTCCCTACAATTAAAGACACTCTGTAACTAGTGAGTTTTCCTCTTAAATGGCTTTGCTTTGATAGTGTAGAGAGCTTAGGTTAAATGAACACCTGTATCCCACCTCTCCAGATTAGCACAAATGTGTCTATTTTGTGTATCCCACCTCTCCAGATTAGCACAAATATGTCTATATTGTGTATCCCACCTCTCCAGATTAGCACAAATATGTCCATATTGTGTATCCCACCTCTCCAGATTAGAACAAATATGTTTATATTGTGTATCCCACCTCTCCAGATTAGAACAAATATGTCTATATTGTGTATCCCACCTCTCCAGATTAGAACAAATATGTTTATATTGTGTATCCCACCTCTCCAGATTAGCACAAATAGGTCTATATTGTGTATTCCACCTCTCCAGATTAGCACAAATATGTCTATATTTTGTATCCCACCCCTCAAGATTAGCACAAATATGTCTATATTGTGTATCCCACCTCTCCAGATTAGAACAAATATGTTTATATTGTGTATCCCACCTCTCCAGATTAACACAAATATGTCTATTTTGTGTATACCACCTCTCCAGATTAACACAAAAATGTCTATATTGTGTATCCCACCTCTCTAGATTAGCACAAATATGTCTATATTGTGTATCCCACCTCTCCAGATTAGCACAAATATGTCTATATTTTGTATCCCACCTCTCAAGATTAGCACAAATATGTCTATATTGTGTATCTCACCGCTCCAGATAAGCACAAATATGTCTATATTGTGTATCTCACCTCTCCAGATTAGCACAAATATGTCTATATGGTGTATCCCACCTCTCCAGATTTTTTCCCCCTTTAATTCCAGACCCTTCAGTCCACCGCTACCTCCCGTTGTAACAGACGATATTGATTCTGCTTTTGGTAAGTGTCTTAATTCATGTAAATAGTCATTAAAATTGATTTTGTGTTTAATACTTTGTCAAAAGAATATTAGTATGTACTGCTTATGTTTCACAATAGAGCTGTTGACCTGAACATTTAAAAAAAAATTGTGTTCACCAAAGTGACCTTGAAAAATGTACATGCAAATGTATGAAATGTGTACCACTGCAACATTTCCAACTCATCCTATTTGAAAGTATGGCAGTTTAAAGAATTAAAATATGAAAATTTCTGCTCACTAAAATTTCCATTCCTGCAGTATTTGTTCTGTTCTACAAGTACTGACTAAACAGTGAACAGTTATGTAAACATACTGTAAACAAATTTATTTCAGTGGTGATGACATTTTGTTTTTTTCTTGCAATTTTAACCACTTACCAGGTAATATAAAATCACTATATTTCTTTGTTAAAAATGTAGCACTAAATTATGATCCATTTTTTAATTAAAATTTTCAGCGATGCATTAAGATAAGAGTGTATTAATGTATTGATTAAAAGGACATGAAACGTATTTGACTAGACATACAATGTGAGGGTGATACAAGAAAGTACCTTGCATACATTTGGTGGTTGGTTGCACAATTGCCTTTCCTCAAGGTCACTAGGGTTCAATTCCCCGATTTGATGTGAAGAGGTATGGGGTCACCTGCTCAACCTCGTGGGGTTTTCTGCGGGTACTCTGGTTTCCTCCCACATTAAAACCCATGTGTGCTAACATCCAGGGCCAACAAGAGTGATCAATAGAAATTAAAATAATTTCTTTTATAATTGTTGTAAAATAAATTAATTTTACATACATTCTATAAATCCAGTGTGTGTTTGTGATTTTGTCAGGTCTCCATGGTTACAACTGTACTGTCCAGTTGAGGACGATGAAGCAGCAGATTTGGGACCAGCAGTTCAGAGGTCTAAACTGTCACAGTAATAAAGGTCAGTGTCCTCATATCAATAGCCGTCATTTTGAAAGAGTACTTATAAACTACCTTATAACATACCTTATAAGGTGATGTATTTATCCAAATTATGTGTTGATTTAATTTTGATGTAAATCCATGACAAGAAATTAAGTTACAGCAAAAACCACCAATTCCACAGGCATATACCCTGAATTCCAAATTTTGTTTGGAGTTTTAGTTAGTTATATCATAAATATATTAAAATTTAGGAAATTTTGAAATTAGAAACAAAGAATGAAGTAATGACTTCAAATTTTAACTACCAGGTAATAGAATTTGCCTGTGTGAGATAAGTCAGTATATTTTCTTAAAGGATATATCTGTTATAAACTAAAGCCCTAAAATCTCCTTTCTCCGTAACAGGTGGAGGGTACGCACAGTTTGTTCTGATAGAACCCCATGAACGTCAAATAATAAACAAAGAAATTGTGTTTCCATGGAAAACAGAGGCGTTCAAAGGGAAAGTGCAGGTTTGTTGGTTTAACCAAAGCTAAACTGCTCTGATGATAATAGTTTCTGATAGATAAATAACCACATATTTTGTGATATAAAGTAAATTAATAACCTATTCTTTATGTAATGTGCAGTAAAGCAGAGATAGCAATATCAGGGTTAATTTATTGATATGATAAAGAAGAGGGGAAATGTTGTTGTTCAGAAATACATTTAGTTTCTAACATGGTTTTGCCTATAATATTACAAAAACTCAAAGCTATTATATATTCTTATAACAGATTCAATATACCTCGTATTTTAATTTGGTCTTTGTTTTTTTAGCTAAATCACAGCAGTCCTGTGTGTCTTCTTTGTGGTTGCAAAGACAATCAGCCGTTCGAAATTCTAAAATTTATATGTAATTTAAGTGAAACACATGTACAATATATAATTATAGATGGTGATAATTTGTTTTCATAGAATGCTTGCTGGCTAGACATCACTGTTATAGATGAGACTGGGGATGTTTTCTGGACGGTCAGGTGTGTGTTCTGTGTACATGTATTAAAGATATAATCCACATATGTGCATATACTATAGTGGAATATATAACAATGATAAGGAATTTGTTGCAAAAATAATAAGCAAGGAAGCCTGATTTGGCTCGAGTTAATTATTTTGCAATATTTTCAAATTTGGTGTTCATATACATATATTCCATTATACACAGCATATGCTGATTTGCATGCATTTCTATTGCCCAATTACACTTAAATGTTTATTTACCAATACAATAAGTCTTTACATCATTGCCATGGTAGAGTATATCCTTATAAGATCATAACCGTTTCTCAATATTCATTGTAAGTTATACTGTAACACAAAGTATAAATGTTAAGTGGTAAAGTTGGTGGAAGAGTATGTGATTACCCTACATTTATATATCTTGATTCTATAAATCTTGTTGACTGTTAATTACTAATGGACCTGCAATTTGTTGTTTTAGGTACACAATGTATTTTTTAGTGAATGTAGTACTGTACAATGTTCCACTTTTTAAAAAATTATTTCATAGTTAACCCTTTCACCCCTAGGTAACTTAGTAGACTCTACCATGCATTTATGGGGATGAGTCCATTATGGTTTACGGTGGTGAAAGGGTTAAGAAAAAAATACAAAATTGAGTTAGTAATAAGTCATGCAAGAAGCTGAATGGATATGTTATTATTTACCGGTACATGTACTTTGATTTGCAGTTCCCTGGTGAGTTCTAAGGCAGCTCGACAAGCTGGAGTCAACAGTAAGTAAATGTTGATATAAAGTGTTTAGTGTTGAGTAAAAGATATATAACTGTAACTTTAACAGTTGGAGTTGAGATCATACGTTGTACATGTGTCCTAGTATTAGACCTAATCATCACCCTGGGCACTTAGCAATTTGGGTTACATAATTCAAATAATTGCAGGGAATTACAAAAAAAAAAAAAAAAACCCATTTCAAGTAAGTTGGTAAATCATCCTGAAGGGGTGCACGTGGGTGGTTTGGACCATAAAGAAGTGAAAGGTCAATCACATTAGAAATAGGGCACTTATGGGGTGGGGTCATGGTAATATTAATCAAAAGCCTGACTGTGTTTTTTTCAACCCCCAGAAAATACCAGAGAAAATGCATCATTCTTTACATTATGTAGAGTACTGCACTGTTTTGTATGTACATATAAGTGAGCTAGCATTTCTATGCTTTTAGTGATAACATTTCGTGAAATGAAAGTACGTCTAATTGTGTATGATGTTGTAGTGTTGGAATTATAACTGTTGGTAAATTAAGCTGCATCTTTTTGAGGAAAGTGTTCTTACATCTATAGTTCTTACTCTGCATGCATTCATTATGCTTAAGAAGTTAATTAAAACTTACCTATTTGTGTGGTTTTACAGCTCTAGACTTTGAGTATTGTGATGACGAGTCCCGATCTATCAATTTCGTTGATGAGGTTGGAAAGTTTCACATGGAGTTCAGTAAAGTATGTATAATAATGATGCTAAAATGTTATATTCTCATGGTCAAATGTTTCAGTTTTATTCAATGGCATAAATTCACACAGTTTAAATATCAGGTAACCATCATTAATAGTCCATAGTGATCAATAGTCATTCATCCATATTTGATTTACAGAGGATTAGTTGATTTTAATAAATATCATCCAGAAACCATTTAAAGACAATTGGATGGTACAAAATTGTTCAGTACTTTTGTGAAAAATATGAAAACACCATTTATTTTTTATTTTTTCAGATTTATATTTGGTAAATTTTCCATATGTAATTCAAAGTTTCTCCTTTTGTAATGCAGTTTTTTTGGAGATTTTTTTGTTTAAAAAATTTCATGATTGCTATATGACTATTATCTTAATGAATTCTTGGTAATTATTTTTACAGACAGATGACCAAGATATCTACATCACACAAGCCCTACTGGGTCTCACCTTGAAAGCAATCAACACAAGGTTTAGATCCAGCTACAGGTGACAGATTTACACAATCCAGCTATAAAGATTTTCAACATAAGACTGTAGCAGGTTATCTCCCTTGGAGTGGTCAACGTCCAGCTACACATCCAAACCACTGACTGTACTAGGTATCTCCTTTGGAATGGTCAGCATAAGGTTACAGTCAGATGTCTACATCATGGACTGTACCAAGTCTCTTCTATGGAGTGGTCAATTCAATTGTCCAGCTACCCCTCATGGACTGTATCAGGTGTGGTTAATTGTCCAGCTTCAGATTTATGTCACGGACTGTGACTAGGTCTCTTTCTTGGAGCAGTCAATTCATGTCCAGCTTCAGATTTACATCACTGACTGTGACTAGGTCTCTTTCTTGGAGCAGTCAATTCATGTCCAGCTTCAGATTTACATCACTGACTGTGACTAGGTCTCTTTCTTGGAGCAGTCAATTCATGTCCAGCTTCATATTAATATCACCGACTACACCAGGTATCTCCCTTGAAGCAGTCAACCATCCGCTAGAGTTCGAAATCATCGCCTGTACCAGGTCTCTCCCTTGGAGGGGTCAATGTCCAACTAGAGATCTTAATCACTTGCTTTTATTTACTGGTCAATGTAAGGTTACAGTGAGGTATAAATATCATAGACTCTACCAGGTCTCTATCCCTTGAAACTTTAATTGTCCCGCTAGAGATCTAGGTCAAAGACAGTTTAGCTCCCTTGGAGCGGTCAGCATAAGGTTCAAATCCAGGTCCTGGATAAAGACATTCTGCTTTAAATGGTATTTCATGAACATTTTAATGAAATTAGCTTTGAGTAAACAAAGGTGTCTGACAGAAATCTAAATAAATTTAAAAAGCTGGCCGAGAAATACCTCCTTGTTTTCATGTAACAATAAATGTTAATGGTTATGATTAACATCACTTAATTTGTGAATAAATACGTATCGACACACAACTAGTTTCCTTTATTATATTTTGATGCTTCAGGAAATCGGTAAATTTTGTTATTTCAGGTGCCATGACATCGTGAAGAGGCTATTTGTTTACTGGAAGACTTTGACTTGTAATCAGGTTCAGCATTGTAATGCGATTCTTTTGTATGTTGAACTGGACACGTAATTTTGAATGCTCTATATAGCTTTTCCTTGTTATATATATGTTAGCTAGCCCTCTATTCATGTGGATTCATAATTGTGCTAGGGGGGTCTAGGGGCATGCCCCCATCCTCCCCCCCCCGGAAAATTTTGAAAACGATGGTGCAATCTGGTGCATTCTGAGGTGCTTTATTTAGTACTGGTACTTAGTAAATGGACAGTTTTGGGATCATCAATTATAAATCAACAAATAAACCCTTTACTCGGCAGATTTTTCTCTAAAGTAGAGCTAAAATAGCAAACAAATATAAGCCCCTATTATGTTAATAATAACTCAGATTGTCTAATTTTCTGTCCTTTTTGCCAGCGAACTGTATTATCACATTTTTAATGTCAATATGACTGTAACTATGCAACATTGCTAGTCCAGACAGACGTTTGGTGGACATAGTGGATCTCATGTAATTTTTCACCCTTCTCATGATACTGAACTGCCTCTCAGCTGAGGCTGTTGAGACCGGCGTGGTAATAAGCCACACTACCAGACATGTGTAAATGTCTGGGTACAGAGTTTTGTTTGTGTCTTTTAAAGTTGCACTAAGGTCAGAAGGCTTCGTTTCTTCCAAAGACCACCTTATTCTCCGGCGGCAATTCCACGATCTCCACTGAAGTCGTCATGAAATGCATCAAATATGGCATCTTCTTGAGTAGGTGTCATTTCATGGACAAGACTTGGTATCAGGTACTGTGCTTTGAACCTGTCGTTGGCAATGACAAAGCGATCTTCCAGTTCTACAACCAGATGGTCAACAGATAATAAAGTGCCCTTTTCCAATATTCTGAGACAGAAACGGCAGGAACGTTGCCACGGTGGTATTGGTGTCTAACTGTTCTTGGCTTTGAAGGTTCTACTTCCTACACTTCGGCCATGGCCACTGCATTGCCGTACAGCTCATACCACACAGCGTAGTCCGCTCTCTCGGCACGGAATGTTGCTATCAGAACTTGGCTCTCCCTGGCTGCCTCAACTAAGTCGCTGTTTTGCTTAAGCACGAACTCAACAACAAATAGAGAGACAATAAAGTCGAACCAAAGGATGCTACACCTATAGCTGCACGCCATGGAGTCTCCTAGCTCTAGCACCTCGAGTGGTGTATGCGGCTTTAACGGTGTAGAGCGTCTCGTCTCACAGAGGCTCTGCAGGCGGGTTCCCTTGTTCATTTGTTCTCTAGCAACAGGGTCGTTTCCCATCTCTTCCTGAAATGTTAGTGGACGTTTTTGCAGAATACTTGAATTCAAATCCGATTTGCTGCACTGTGTCCAGCAAGTTTCTTACAAGTGCTTCTTTGCAGGTGTGCACGATGGAAAGAGTCGAGCTATGGGCTTTGCAGTGAACATACATGGCTTGTGGAACTAGTTGCTGTACTCAAGCTTGTACACCACGATGACACCCCGACATATTACTGGCTCCATCGTAACCCTGGCCACACATCCTAGTAATATCTAGCCCAACATTCCATTGGCCCTCAATGAACTTATTGAACAGAGCCTCACTTTTAGTTGTTCAAAACCAAAATGTCTAGAAGTCCCTATCTAAGGATAAGATACAAACGATATGGATATTTATATGCTTCGTGATTTTTTTTGCAATGTTAAGGGTAAAACTATACCCTTTCGGGAAATTAAAGAGGTCACAGTCAGTAGGTTCATACCATATACAGCTTCGATAAAACCATATTTGCTGGGGATATTCATGTGAATGATTTAAGGTAACTCTAAATACCATTCATCCTTCCATACCTCAGAGGCTCTCTTTAGATAACTAAATTTTATGTTTCTAGGCATTGATGGAATACAGACATGTAGGTATATTGTTTGAGGATAGTGGTCATCATATGTAATAACATTCCAATGATTCCATGCCTCTTGCAACTCACTTAAATTTATTTTGTCCCATGAATAGTGTCCCTTTGTGTATCAATACAGGGTAATCAAGATTATTGCGATAACATACTTTAAACAATGCCAACCAGGTACTTAAATTTTACATTAAAAACATCAAATTGCATCAAATTTTTATTTTTTATTAACAAGTATGTCAATACTGTAGTGATGAGATCACCAGCAGTAAATAAATCTAACACAACACAATACCAATGTACATATACATCTAAACTCAGAATTGATTATTGTTACACAACGATAATGTAGGAAGAACATTGTAGTATACTGATATACAATAAAACTAACTAAACATGATCTTATTAGGTCCAGGATAAATTTGGAATTATATTCTAGAGATTTTATATATAAAGACTTGTTAAGTATAAAACTTTGGGACTGTTCGAGTTTGGAGGGGCACTTGAAGCCTTCTAGAGACTTGACACTTTCTTGTTCAAGTTCCGCAGATATTTTTGTAGTTTCTTTCTTTTTTGTCAACTCGATTGAAATTTCGATGTCATAGTTGATCACTAAAACTTAATAAGGTGAAAAGCATAAATCAATTGCAAAAATAAACCCTTTGAAAAAAAATTCAATTGGAAAATCCTTAATAAAATAGAGGCAAGTATTTTTTCTTAAATACTCTAGTTGAACCATTGATGGATACGTTTCCTTGCCATACAACGTAACGTAAAGACGCGAAAAATACAACAAATGAGCTCATAAAGTATTCAATAGTATAATATACACATATTATGTACATAAATCCTCTTATATACATATATATGCAATACAATATGTTTTCTTAACTGAACTTTTCTGTTAAATAGACGATACTTAATTGGGTCATCGACAGTCTATTGCATCATCTGAAAACAATCTAATTTGCACACCTTTCCATCAGGAAACGCATATTAATCAAGTTGTTAATTTGCCCCTCACACAGTGTAATTATTTCAGTATGTATGGTACATGTATGATGTGTTCTTAAATTCATTATGCAGGATGAAGAACATTTCCGAGTCATACATGTAGATTATATTGAAGATATTCAATATCTACTTCCAATAACTCCAATTATATGGCTTCTATTTTACATGGGTTTTATTATTTTCAAGTAAATGTTCATGTTTAAATTCTACATAAGTATTCAGCTGTTCAAGGAACCAATGAAAGTTATCCTTACAGGTTCAAAATATTATGCTTTCAAGAGACCAATCAAAATGATCCTTACAAACATGGTGAGGGAACAAAAACTTGAAACACTGACTCATGAAATGAAAGGAATACTGCAGAATCAAACTTTCTTATACAGTACACGAACAGAGGATTTCAGGATTTCACAACAAACTGATCACTAGACTTGTTCTTTCAAAACTAGTTGGATAGTTAGCCACATATTCAAACGACAAACAACTGCAGCTGCAGATCAGGATACAGTGCAAATTAATTACATTTTTACCACACAGACCACTGTATAAGTAAATTCAGTAAAAGATATCCAAAAAATTAAAGAGATATAGATATAACTACATTTTGTATGCCGAACAAAAATATGCGCGTTTCCCGTTTAATATCAGTGTGCATAAAACCAAAAATGGTTTTAAGTCATTTGGGTTGGATACCATGACAATGCTGGTTAAGACAATAAGACGAACACAACATTGACCGACTAATAATTTTCAGGAAAGGTACAAAAGGTTACAATTAGTGTAGGCGTAATCTAAAAAGATCCTAGTTTAAAAGGACCAATATAAAATCCAAAAAATATCTATACATCATAGAAAACACTGTATAACATACATTATGTATATGATCCTGTATTAAATATATTATTATAATCCTACATCATATATACATGTATACTTATCATGTATTTACTAAATTAATTAGATAACTCACAATGTAAAGATATTTCATATTAAACACACCTTAAAACATCTTTAAGACCAGGAAGCCATTGATCAAAGCATAGTCAGCTTAATGACAACTTAACACAGAACTTTCATCTGAAATGTGTTCCAAATTTGTTTTTTGAAGTTCATAACTAATATTAATAGAATAAAGTTTCGAATATATTCTCCCAAGAGAAAAAATAACATGATAACATTAGTATATTTTACACATTTTTCAAAATATTATTTTGAAAATCATGTCATTGACTCACTAACATATATATATATAATCTGGCTTTGATCAACTGGCTTCTGGTGACTTAAATATCTATTACTTGTTATACACAAAAAATGTATATGATTAATACTGTAATGATAGAAGTGAAACCACTAAGTCTAGTTGCTACTTTTTAATACCTTGCGTGTGTTTAATTTAAACACGTTTTGCTGAACTGCAATAATTTTGTAGGTATAATTTGTGAAACACTTTTTAGATACCTGACCTTGTACATTACTAAATAATCATACAAAAATATGTTAAACTGAATGTCAATATCAAGATTTGCCTACGACAATTGACAGTACCTCGTGTAAATCATATTTATATATACTGTACACGTATATTAAACTAGAGACCATATCGACACAAATTGTTATATGTTGGAATTACCAATAACATAATTGCCTAAAATCAATTGAAGTAGTAGATCATTACTTATGCAGTATGGGAAAGTAGATTAGTACATTTTGTACTACAGTTCAGTGTGGGCAAACCGATGTCAGTCACTAGGTTCTGAAGACGGCAAACCTAGTACACATGTATGCCGAAACATGTCAACTACAATAAATATTGCTGCTTAACCTTTTGTCGGATGTTGTGTAGCCATTTCTACCTGAATTTTCATGACACTTTGTGCTGGACTTGTACATGTGTATTCCCTTAGCAATCCATCCAAGCAAACCACCCGAACAATCGGAAGATTTGGATACAGACATTGGGTCTTGTTTGATTAGTAATGTTAGTCAACATATGTTGGCCATCTACTGTTTCAATATTTATGAAGGTCATTATGAATAAGCCATTAAGCACTCACTACTGACAAGTCATTACACTGTTACTCATGATAACTATACACATTTATTACAGTGTAAATAAACAATATTGATGCTAACTACTAAATCAGGAACACGAACCAATGGTAGGAAATTTCATATGATCAAAAAAGATTACATTGCTTCCACTGTTTTGTCAGATAACAGCGCTACAGATGTAGCCGATTTAATTTGTTATCAACGATGACATGACCGAGGTTATAGTAGACTGCACATGTACAGGTACTGGTAAGACTATATTTTACCTCCCAGGTATAACCCCATACACTACATAAATACAGTGATAACTATATACAGCACACCCTACATAATACTATATACATATACCATTATACATGAAATATCATATTGTATATATATATACATGTACCGTCTATACATCAGTAGGTATAATACAGGAAGTTTAAATTAACCAGTCATCTTTGTACTTTAGTCAGCTGGTGAGCCACTGGACATCTTCTGAGCGTGATGTGCACTGTACATCCCAAGTATCACAACTTGAAGCTATCGTTTATAAATAATATACAACCTGAATTCAGTTCTTGTGAATCTGGAAATACAAACAAGAGAAAGATATTAATAATTGACAATATTGAAGAATTGTTGAAAAATATCTATGAAGAATATGTTTATTGCATTATGGATTTAACACATTTGAACGTCTCATATATAGTTACATTGAAGTCAATTAATTTAGCAAGACTAGATCAATAAAACAAATATTCATGTCTACTGAAATAATTCACTCATTATGATCAAACACTTTCTTGAAAGATAAACATGTACATGTTCACTGCACCCATAATTTGAACCAATTTACTATATGTCTTTAATCCAGGATAACAGTAATGTTTAAAGGTACCTCATCGTTGATAATATAAACTGTTACATCCCCACAAGACCAGGTAATGACTGACTTGTACATGAAGTCCTGTAGTCTTAACTTTGTTGCAACTGAAATCCGTTCCATTGACCTAGAGGTTCTGGAATGGTACCAGACCTCCTGAGTAAACATTTTGCTAACCTATACCTATATGTACCTTGCTGACCCATATCAAATGTTACCAACTTTATGTGATTGTCTCAAGCCATGATCACAAAAGTTTTTTTGACAATTGATGTAATACTTCTATAAGGCCAAACAAAAAATTATTTGTTGTTTCCAGTAACTCTGCGATTCCTACCCTATTTGTTTTGTACCTACTCTAAACTTTTTAAGGCAATTTTCAAAGAAGCACTGTTAAAGTCAAGATCACTCTCCTATATTAACTATATAAAATTATTTGTTAAAAATTAAATTTGTTACCTACGTGATTTTTTTTACAACATGTTACAGGAAACAATTATTATTTTGTCTGGCCTAAGTAAAAATTTGAGAAATTTAATGAATTTAACGATCCTGTGATTTTTTTTTTATATGTTGACAAATAATGTTTCTGTACAGTACCTATTCAGTCCCCGCCTCTTTCTTGATGTACTCCTGGGCATGAAGCACAGGAATAACAGCTACACAATTATCACCAGGAGATCGGCTCCTTTCTTTTTCCTGGGATGATTTAGGTATATTTAACGAAGCACCATCCTGGTTAGAAAGATATATGTAAGCAAGATCCTTATTCACATGGAGATTCTGTGACTGGGGAGGCTCTTCTGCTGCTGACCCAACGCTATCGTCTGTTTTGTGGAAATGTTTACTTGAAAAGGGATCTTTTTCTGAATTTCCAAATGTAGGTATAAAATTATCTGTCTTCTCGCCAATCCCAGAATTAATGCATGCAAGATCCTCATTCACATACTGACCCGGTAGAGGCTGTTCTACGGCTGTTCCGTCATATGTTTGACTGAAATGTTCCTGTGTTGGGTCTACGTTTTCTATCTTCACTTCAACATCAAGGTTTTTCTCAAATGATGAATTTGAAAGGGAAAATTCATATTCAGGGTCTACAGGTTCTCTCTTTACCTCTGTTCTAAGGTAGCCATCAACCACAGCAGGCTTGTCATCTCTTCTGTCTAATGTCTTCTGGTGGTTCCTTGAAGTTGTTGAAGATTGCAAATCCACTGAACTGTTTCCTGAACTCCTTGGCTTTCCAACTTTGACAAACAATGTTCTAGATGAATATCTTGTTAATCTTTCATCATTGTCATCAGACTTTGTCTCGCTATCATCATCACAATCATCATCTTCATCATCATCATATGAAGTTATCTGGTTGTCAATTGAATTTGATTTTGGCCATATATGTGTTGTAGTTGTCGATGCATGTTTCGTATTATTTGTATGGGAGCTAGAAGCTCCTTCTCCTATACAATCTTTCACATCTTCATATGAAGAGTCAAATAAGTCATCTATCAGTGCTGGTGTTAGTGTACGTCTTTTCTTATATATTCTTGGTTTTTTGATGATGAGCTTGTCAATTTCACTGGGTGGTCGCACTACATAAACCACCTTTGTGACTGGTTTGATGGATCCTGGTGACATCTCGCTTAAATGTTCCAGCTTTTCATACGTGTTCTGTGATTGACTTGTATTTGTGGATGAAGTATTCACATCTGATACCTGTTGACAAGACGAGCAAATAACGTTGTTAGTTTCAAAGTGTTTATGTTTTTTAAAGACCTTTTGTCCATTACAACCAAACAGGAGATTTCTAAAGCATAAACAGCATTGTACAACATTTGGATCATATTCCTTGGATTTTGTTCCAGCTTCCCACTCTAGGTTGTACTTTGTAGGTCTTCCCCGAGCTCGTTTCTTTTCCTGATTCTGATTGGTTATCACAGTCTGATATTTTTTGGGTGTATATTCTAGTTTGGGCACAGTATGATCAATGCTTAACGTTGTTGGACGGTAAGAATCTTCATTTTTGGAATGGATGTCATCACTGTAATATTTGAAAATTCTGTCTCCATCAGATGTAGATTTTGTTTGACAATTGTTGTCGGGTGTTAAACCTGTATTGGGACTGGTGTTTGATGTTGATTCTGTAGGTTCATCAATGTTAGGCGTTGATTCATCCTGTTTATCCAAAGCTGGAAGCAAATGAGCATAAAATAATGGAGAAAAAAAATTAGCTTCATGTATATAGCTATAGGGAAATACAATTTGTAAAAAAGAAACCATCAAATCACAGCACAGGTACATGCAATGACTAATAATATTGATCTTGTTATATTATACTTTCAGTTGCTGAATATGTATATTCTACGTACCGTGACTGAAAGTCTAACAAGATCAAAACAATTAGTAGTTTTGTACCCCTGTGGTCGAAGCTGAACATTTTACTCACTAGGAAAGTATTGTAAGTGAACAAAATTTTCACTTGGTGAATTAGAAATTCAACCACAAAGCTTGATTCTTTTCATCAACTTTAACGTTAATAAAAATATCAAAAACTGAAACCCAGAACTGGCATCACAGTATATTCTGTGTACATCTTTGTAGTCCCTGTGGTCTACAATCAGTATCGATTTTTAACATCCGTTACGAAAATATAGTTCAGGCTACTGTATAATTATAATAGTGCAAGGTATGGGATCGATTTCATAATATATATATTAATATTAGTACTTCTGTATATGTGTCAGCTCCCTTCTATATCTAAGACTTAGTCCGTGTAATCATGTTTTTTCTTTCTTTAAAATTTGCTCATATAACCTATGAAAATGTACACACGGGTTTACGTTCTAGATTTCGTTTGAAGATCCGTCAAAATTAGTGACGCGTTCGACATTGTCATTAATTACCCAATATTGCCTTGCGTTTTCTGCGGCGTTCTCCTGTTAGCTTTCGGTTTCGATCCCTAACCATGCGATAAGATGGAGTCTTTTTCCTTTTCCGTGGCATTGTAAATCTGAGTATACGGTCTGAACGAAACTATGTAGAATTTTTGGCACTAGGTTCCGATTTCGATAGCCTTATCAACCGGAAATGACTAGACCATTGTAAATAAAAANGTAAACGATTGAATAAAATCAATTGTAATTTAAGGAAAATTTGAGACCGATAATGTGCACATTCCCCTACTAATGTTGAAACAGTTTAGGTGGCTCAGAAATATGCTTTATACTTATGAATATCCATAGGTAGGTTTTAAGTTCCCTTCATCCCACATGCTTTTGGCTAAACATCATGACCCTCAAGTATTCAGTTATTCAGAGGTAAATTGTTTTAAAATTTTGATTCATTTGACCCCTGTGAAAATTATTCTTGAAAAGGGGTACTGATAGTTAATTCGGAAAAACTTGATAAATCTCATCCAGCATGCCATGGGGAATATATAATGGCATCTCAGCTAGTCATACAAAAGAAGTCCTTTAAAGGTTTTGACATATAGGTCTAGATCATTCATTTGAACAAAGATGATAGCGCACTAGCCCTTCATTCCAGCAAGCTTGGGCCACCAATATGACCATCCTAATTAGCCTCTTTGTAATTCAGAAGGAGTCATTAAAATGTTTTAAAACATTTGAAAATTGCAACCTTGAAAGTGGGTTAAGGTCATTTCCTTAAACAAACTATTTATATAAAAAGCTCTTAATCTCTGCATGCTACTAGCCAAATATCACCACCCTATGTCTCTTTGTTATTTATAAGTTGTTTGAAAACTTAAATACTTTTAATCCCTGTGACCTTTCAAGATGGGTCATTATGCTTTTATTTGAACAACAAAAGCAACACTTTTTCTCGGCATAGGCCTCCTTGTTTTTCATAAGTTGTTTTGAAGTCTTGTCGCATATCATTCTCGGCTTCTTAGTTAATCAGGAGTTGGTAAAATGTTTTAACAAATTTGACAACCATAACTCTGAAATTGGATCAAGGTAATTAAAGTTAACAAAACTGATAACCTTTAGTATGCATCATCACCCTAGCAACAACCCCTTGGTGATATATGCATTCTGTGCTGTTTTTGATAGTTGAACATTACCCCTCACTTGGACTTCAAGAAATCAATGCAAAATAAATCTCATTAAAAGTAAAATTACAAATATTTCCAAATCTGGGCTCTCCGCACCAATGGGGCAACATCTTTTCTTTATAAACATTTGATCCCTGATCCCAATAATGCTTCATAACAAATACAGTTGAAATATAATTTACTATTCCTGAGGAAGAGGCTTTTAAAAAATAAACACTCAAATTACCGGCTTTTAGACATTTCTGCAGAGGAAATCATGGTAACTATTAATATAAATTGTACATAAGGCTACAGATTGGCGATCTAAACTACAATATATTTCCATGTTTTGACAATAAAACTAAGTTTCCAGGGGAATGCATCTTTGATTTAATGGGGTATCTTGCATGAAAAAACTAGTGGTGTTCTAAAAAATAAATCCATGATAAATATTCCCACAATATATATATTTTGAAACTGGTTTACTTTGATAAAAGAATCTCAAACTTGTTGTACCTTTCCATATTTATTTTATAAATATGAAAATTGTTTCATAAAGATCTAAAAATTATCATAACATTGCACGTTTCCTTTCAGGAACATTTTCACACTTAAAGTCTTCAAAAGTATATCGCACGTATATCAATTAAATTTAACTTTCCAGAATTGAAATAATAGGTCACTTTCTTTGAAACAATTTGTGATATCAGTAAGACTCTGACAACTACAGTAGTCTTTATGTAGGACCTTTAATTAGCTGTTGTTAGATATAAAATCCTGACCACGTTGAGACATTATTTTGTACACTGGTGTAGTACCTGTTAATTTGCTGTGGTCATCCCTTTAAATGACATGGCCTCCTCCCTGTCTCCTTTGATGAACTGTTGTTTAAACAATCGATAGTCAACCACAGCTGTTTGAAGTGAAGCCCCGGTGTGCAGCGCAAGTTTTGACTCATGATCCGAGTGGCATAGAGTAGTATTTCAATCAGACTGGTTTGTCTGTCTCTGAACTTGAAAAAGGTTTTGTCATCCATGAGGTTATATAAATGTTTCTATATTGGTCTAGCTCGATCTGGCAGTGTCTTTTAGAGATGCTCTCATGTATACACATAGCTCACAATAACACCATACTTAAGATTTCCTGGTAATGAATAGATAAAAGGTTGTTTGGATAGTACTCCTTAAACTAGCACAGCCAATACAACCTCCTTTAAATCTTTAATAAGAAGTTCATGATCTAACAATTACACACCTCTCAAAATAAAAGTATAAACCAACAGATACATTGTACATGTACTATGAGAGTAATTAATTCTCAGAATATTCAAATTATATAACAAATGTTCATCAGGATTCGGCTATACAAAACTATCGAAATCAGGTTCTTGTTTGATAGATCTAACATCCAGTATTATAGGAAGGCATTGAGCAGACTCTTCATCAGCAACGCTTGTATTGTCTGGTACCAAGTTGGGTTCAGAACTCTGATTCTGTGTTTCTTGTACATGATACTTCACGTCACCCTCTGACAAATGATAAATAGGGAGAGGTTTTGTGTCAGTAGAAACACTTGCGGTTATGTCTGTGGCTGTATTGTCGATTACGGGCTTCATTACTGACATGTCTCTAGATGACTGCATTACAGGGTCATCTACCAGGTCTGGAACTTCATAATATATGTCTTCGTCTTTTTCTATCTTAACTTTGTGGCCAAGGTAATTTGAGACCGTAATGTTCTCCACTTGTCCGCTTATAAACCTTGTGTCTTTCCCCAGGTCCTCCACCACAGTCTTCACACATGGATCATTCCACAGCATGGCCTTTGCACTCTGACCTTGATTCTCCTTCCCTGTCGCAAGTCTCATGGCTGCTACATCGTCACAATACACATATATCTTTGTGTCGGATTCCTGTTCACTTCCCTCACAGACGTCCTCCTTAGAAATACTGGTTTTAATCCTCACCTGGCTGACACTGGTGTCTGATGTCATAATGTTGTTATTGTTACTGTTGGCGTCTTCCACAGACGTTCCAGTGCAGAAGTATGCGTAACTTAAGTTCTCACTCCGATTGATGTTAGTGGTTGTCGCTCCAGATGATGTCTCTGCAGAACTGTCTGAAATAGATGTGTTGGTAGCGTGGATGTGAAGTGGCTGGTTGTTAATGACCATTTTGCCGTCGCCACTTCTTTCCTCATGGCATTGTATCACCATCTCTTCTTTAACCCGAGTATAATCCATCCGAATCTCAAAGTTGGAAGAATCCTTAGGAGCTGTTTCCAGTTCTGTCATCGAGTTATCTTGATTGTTAACATGTACTTGGAAATCTAATGATTCTATGTTAGGTTTGAACTCTGCTGGTTCTTCCAGCTCAAAAGATCCTTTGCCAGGTGGAGTTTTTAAAACCTCATGTTTATGGACCTCCCGAGTAATGAACTCAAGTTGATTTTGATTCTGACTTGTTACTTTTTCTATTGTTTCAGTAGTTCTACCGATGGTTTTATCTACATTGTCTCTGATATCAGTCAATTCATAGGAAGTTTCTTTGTTCATTTCTTTTGATACAACATATGTTTTAATATGTCCTGTATTTGGTTTACAATAAACTCTAGTAGGCTTAGCAACGGCCGTAATCAATGTCTTGTCAGCTGGTGGCATCACTACATACACATTCCTTGAAAAGAGCTCATCCTCATCACATTCCTCACTATCACTTCCAAAATCAAGCTTTTCATATCTGTTCTCTCTCCGATTTGCTTTAAACTCAGAAGAGAGCTGACAGTCTAGTTCACAGGAAGGACAGGTCACATCACCTGAATTTTTATCGCTGTCCTTCTTCCCAAAAAGTACATCTCTCATACACACAGAACACTGACGGGACTTTTTATTCAGGACCAGTTTTCTTTTTTTTGCCTTCTTTCTTTCATCCACATTTGTCATCACAATCTGCTCATCTGTGTCCAGGGAACAGACAAGAGTGTCTGATTTGGTTTTGTTTGATTTGGTTCTACTTTCTACCTTTCTCTTCTTTATTTTCTCTTGAAGTTTCAGTTTAACAGATTTTTCTGTTTCCATCTTAAAATCAGCCATGTTTGGTTTTGATTTAGGCGAGTCCACACATATGTTTGAACGATCATCAGAACAATCAGATTCTGAAAATAAAATCATAAAAAAATCAAAAAGTTTGACACATAAACTCCCCTATACTTATTTTGCAGTTAATACACTGATGTATATTTTATCTTATCTTATAGGTGATATCCAAATAATGTTTATGTGATGCTACTACATTTAAAATTATTACCACCATCTTACTAAGTCATATCAATTCTAAGACACATATCTTAAATGAAATTGAAAGTCAAAGATGTGCATATGTAAATGATGGAAAACAACACAACGTTAACATGAAATGATAAAAAAAAGTGTAATGTTTAAATAATGGAATCTCTACGATAGTCTACTAGCAGTTAGGCAGTGCAGGTGAACAGCTTGATTAAAATGTTATATTTTACTTTTTCCCCCCATTTAGAACAATTTTATTTCCAAGCGAAATTTAGATACATTATTGTATGCATTAAAAAAAATATAAATATACATAAAAAAATGCATTTACCGGTAATTTACAGAAAAACCAGCAGCAAGACGTTTTGAAATATAGGCAAATCAAACAAACAGTTTTTAAAAGGTGACAGTACCCAAATCGGATCACCAAACCACCATCATTATTCATTTATGGTTGTATCAAAGGAAGAATATCGATGGGTGTTCACTTGAGATATGTATAGAACGCTCTGAAGTCACCTATCAGCGTGTCCAGTTTTTGAGAATGTCCGGACCCAAATCAGATCAAGGCTTGAATTTCGCAGTATCTTTAATCTAATTCCGTGACCTAATACACCGTATCAAGTGCCATTATATCCTGTTCTCAAGTACCTGTTTCAAAACATTGAACCACAGGTACTAGCCTCGTCTGTCAATACATGTCATGATTATATAATAGCTGTGCTGTACTGTAACTGTTACCCGTGATTGAACAAGACTCGATCGCGATCAATTGCTATTTTGCTTTCTGATTACCGATATTATCTCGGGACCGATGCTTAGACCCCTTCCGCCTCTTATTCTTAGACATTGCTGTACTGTGATTTCGGACCTTTAATTGGGTGTGCAATAGTATCACATTACAATGTGTTTTCTTTGTACGATGCAGTCCGCTTATCCGGAAACGATAGTCGTGCTAGTAATTGTAAAACCGGAAGACGGTGACCACAGTTCCGGATAGCATTTTAACCGGCTTAGCAGAGACAAAAGCTAACTGGAAATGAGTTTGTGAACGTCATAATTGTATCCATTTATTTTGAACTCACAAAGAAGTTTTGCCTTGTTATTTTCTATTTACAGTGTGTGATGAAAACGTTTGTGACCATGACATAATTTTCTGACATATTCTAACAGCGAGTCCATAGAGGAATGACATGTTACTGTGTAGCCGACTGTCTATAACCAAACTAATGCTGTTATACAATTACATTAATTATCCCAAGATATAAGTAAAATGTGCTCCTTAGGAGATGAGGGGGATGAGTGTGTATGGAATTGAACTGAATGTAACATATATTGTATTTAAATGGTACTATGTTTGCGATATGTTGGTTTTACTCTTTGTATTTCAGAGGGAAACATATATTCTATTGTATATTTTTACCTTTTCTGAGTTTTGTCCGTTTCATCCCGAACTTCACTGCTCTCGTTTTGTAGGTTACTTTCTTTTTCATGGCCCCTTTTCTATGCTTCTCCCCGTTGCTATGTATTTTCGTGTCTGTCCGTAGAACCTGCCCTTGTCCTGCGTCCTTTTCGTTGAGCTCTTGCTGCTTGTTTATCTCTCCATTGTTCACTTCTATCTCGCTAAATAAGTTCTTGTTGACCTCAGTGCTATTAGCTTCTTTATCATTAAACCCATTGCCTGGATTTATCCCAATTTTAAATTTTATTTCCTTACGGTCTTCTATCTTTCCAGCTCCATCTCTGCCCTTCGTCTCTTCGATTGGGCAATTATCTTCCGGGTTGATGCAACGCCCTTCTTCATCAATTTCCAATTTGATGTATTTCTTTTTAAAAGGTAGATTTCTGGTTGTCATCGAGACGCCTTTAACTTTCTGCATACACGATTCTGAAACCTCATTCGACACAATGGACAGTTTTGGCTTCAACATGGTGCCTTCACTTTTGTTCAATTTAAACAGATCCTCTTTTGAAACCTTTTCGCCATCCAACCGACTTGTATATGATCTGTGAGCACGAGTCAATACAGCTGTTTGAGCAATACCCGAAGATCCGTTGGTATCTCTACATTCTTTGACAAAATCCTTTGAAATGTTCGTCAGAGTTGGTCCCTTTCCGTGCTGTTTACAAGATCTGTCTTTGCTCTTGATACCCTTTATTCGACAGGCAGAACTAAGTTGTTTCCTTCTTTTCATTTGATCAGACACTGATGCCTGCCGCTTTTTACTCTGTATCTGACCACTAGATACCAGTCCAGCTTTTCTGCACAAGTATTGAAGCTGAAGTTTCTTGGCCTCCTCATCCATAACATCCAGTTCCATAAACCAACACTTCGGCTTCTTCCCAGTTTTCCTAAAATTAAAGTGGAAACCCTTTGTGGCAAGGGGGAGTCGGAAATTATCGTCAAATTTTGTCCATGTAGAATGAGAATTTGCATTTCTTGCATAGGGTTTTTTCCTCATATGTTTTTGTTCTGCTTCAGGACAAGATTCATGATCTCCAGTCGGCGAAAATGGTATGCTCTTACTAGAACCACTTTGGATTTCACTACTATTACCTGCTTGTTCTTCTTGCAGAGGACATATTTCAGATGAAACAGATGACCCTCTTTCACTAAAACTATCTACACGGTGTGATTCTGGAAACAACTCAACACTATCGGTATTGCTATCATTCTTAATGCCAATTTTCTGCCTATCTTCATTTTCCTGAACGGTACAGACGCGTGTAAAATCTGGATTTTCCATTGGATGGTCCTCTTCCTCTCGACTTTTCTGCAGGTCGTTTCGATTCGTATTTTCTTCGGAGTGTAATGACTGTTTTGTGTCTTTATTGTTCAACGAGTTACAGTTTGTATCTATTTGCATCTCTTGTACTTTAGAGCTGTTGATTCCCATTTGTCCAGAATCATGCAGATTTGCAACTGAAACACTGTCTTCTACATCTGATGTGTTCCGACGAACGACAATGTTACCAATTTCTTCAAAGTTAGTTTGAGCAATAGATTTAGTGTCGTTCTCATTTCTTTGTGAACTCTTATCATCTTTATGAACAAAATCTGACGGCAAAGCATTACTTTCTTTCACCGGAGGCTCTTCAGTCATACTGATATCAGAGTTAATTGATTGTGTACTGATAATTTTGTCAAGTGCTTTATCCTGCATGCAAGGATTTTTTGCATCACTTTCCTTGTGGTTTTCTGTGGTCTCTTCTTTGACTTCTCTTGGACTGATGTCTGCTATGTGTTCATTTAGACTGATTTTAACAGTGTCCTCTTTTCGAACTTTGTCAGTGGAATTTCCACTCGGACCGTTGGAGTGCTGGCTGGTACATGTATCTACTGAAGGGGAGTGCTGGCTGGTACATGTGTCTACTGAGCTTTCTTCCGAGTGCCCACCAAGACCGTTGTCTTCCAAGTGACTACTGGAACCATTGTCTATGCAACATCTATTAGGGCTATTCTCTGGTGAAAGCCCACTCGGGCCTGTGTCTACTGAACGCTCATTGCCACCATTAACTGAAAACATTTCACTTGTACTGTTGTCTCCGAATTGCCCACATGGACTTTGGTCTGCCGAATGTCCACTTTGACTGTTGCCTAATGAGCACCCATTTTGAATGCTATCTGCTGATTGCCCACTTTGACCGATGTCAGTGGAGAAGTCACTGGTACAGGTGTCTACTAAGTGATCTCCTGGTCCATTATCGGTTAAATGCCCACTCATACTTTTATCTTCCAAATACTTATGTGAACCATTGTCTGCACAACATCCACTAGAAGTGCTGTTACTTGGGTTCCCACTTTGACTGTTGTCTGTCGAGAGCCCACTTTGACTAGTGTCTACCGATTGCCCACTTGGACTGTTATCGGTCAAATGCTCAATCATACTTTTGTCTTCCAAATGCTTACTTGAACCAATGTCTGTACAGCATCCACTAGAACTGCTGTTCCCACTTTGAACGGTGTCTTCCGATTGCCCACTTGGACCGTTGTCTGTTGAGTACTCACTGGATAAAGTGTCTACTGAGTGACCTTTAGGGCTATTTTCTCTCGGGAGCCGTCTCAGACCATCGTCTTCCAAGTGCATATCTGAACCATCGTCTGTACAGGATCTACTACTTGGATCAGTGTCTACTGGATGTCCATTGTTATTTGCAGAGTCTTCACTTGTTATGTTGTCTACTGTGTGCTCAATTCGACTTCTGTCTTCTGATGGTTTACTCTGACTGTTATCTGCTGAATGCCCACTCTGACTGTTCTCTGCTGAATGCCCACTCTGACTGTTCTCTGCTGAATGCCCACTCTGACTGTTCTCTGCTGAATGCCCACTCTGACTGTTCTGCTGGCTTTCACTTCTTTTCTTCTCGTTTTGGGTGGGAACACTTACATTTCCGTCTTGTTTTTCTTTGTGATGTTCCGGTTTTGTTTGCCCACTTTTCGAGATTTGTGGTTCCCCATCTCCACTATCCTCTGTATGTTCGCAATCCATGGTATTTTTGCGTCCTGATTTTTTACACGGGGACAATTTGACCTTTTTCCTTGGTCTTCCCCTTTTCCTCTTTTCTCCAACAGGTAACTCCTGTTTCACATTTAGATTTTCAAGATGTGATGGTGATGTGGCACTATCCTTATCAAGGCTGCTTTCCTGTTTAATTTGTTTCAGGATGTGATTGAAACCTGACTGATACTCTGATGTTCCTTCATCATGACTCAAACTTTGAGACTCATCTTCCTCCCCTTTTATCAATGTCATGTCCAAACTGTCCAAGTTCTTTAGTTTTTCTAGTTCTTTTTTAGTATGCATTCTCTTATAATGCAGCTGTAACTGGCTATGTCTTTTATAGGGCTTCTTGCACAACTCACAAAAGAAAGCGTAGTTTCCATGCATGGTACCCACATGAGCCAAGAGATTTTGTTGAGATTTTCCTCCATAAGGACACAGAGGGCAACGATAGGGACGGTCTGCCAACTCGTGGGTTTTCATGTGCGCTCGTTTATTTGACTTGTTGGAAAAGGTGCGATCACATACATCACAGGAGAATGGCCGTATTCCGCTATGTAGTTGAAGATGCTTTCCCAGAGATGACTTGACCTTGAAGGTCTTGTTGCAAATGTGGCAGGTAAATGGTCTCTCATCTGTGTGTCGTTGGGTGTGCTTGTTCCTTGCAGATGGAGATTTGAAATGTTTTCCACATAATGGACATGGGTATTTTCTTTCTTCTGAGTGAACGTGCATGTGCTTTGCTAAGTCAGATTTGGTTTTGCAAGCCTGTTGACAACCAGGATGTGTACAAGGGAATGATCGAACATCACTGTGCTTGAATTGATGGAGGTTCAACTCATAATTTGTTTTACATCGAAAACCGCACTCTAAACATCGAAGAGGTTTTGCTGAGGTGTGACGGTAAAGGTGATACTTAAGGTCACATGGTCTTTTAAAGCTATGTCCACATATTTCACAATGGAATGGGCGGTCCTCCACATGGCTCAAAAGATGACTGGAAACATTGCGCTTCCATTTTGTGGTGAAGTCACAGTAAGGACACTTGTAGTTTTTGACTTTTGAATGTTTAGCCTGATGACGCTGTAAATCGATTCTGGATCTGGAAGCATATGGACACAGTTCACATTTGAACGGTTTAGCTTTGGTATGTCTCGATTCATGTTCTAGGAAAGCTCCTCTACTTCTTGCTTTGAAGTCACAATAAGAACAATATATAAATGGTTTGGCGTGCGTTTTTCTGTGCTGCATCAACTTGGGACGTTCCTTGAATACCAATTCACACCGATCACATTTGAACTGCCCTATTACTGGGGGCCTGCCTATTCTATGAGCTGACCTTTTGCGCGGGGATTTCAGTTTTGATTTTAAATTTTTTGGCCTACCACGTTTAGGTGGTGTTTTTGTTGGTGAACTTGACGAGGTTTGTTTTTGCATATCATGAACGCAAAATGAAGCATCGTGCTCAATTTTTATTTGTTTTGATGGGCATTTGCTTTTCTTCGATATAATTTCCTTTTTGCGTTTTTGTTGAGACACATTTAAACATCCTGATGGAAATTGGGCCCCAGCTGTAGCAGCAGCAGTCTCGGCGCTTTCCTCTTCAGCAATACGAAATCCGATAATTTGTTGCTGCTCTTCGGCAGTCATCTTTGTGTACGAGTCTTCAAAATCCTCAGATGTAGAACTTGTTCTTGATGATGTAGCTGTAGCTGTAGCTGTGACGGATACACACTTTTTAGGCCGGCCTCTTTTTCTTTTTTGTTGTGGTGCGATTTCAAAAGGGAGGGTTGACAGACACCTACTACTTTCCATCTTAGTTCCTAAATTTCCAAAGTTCGTGCTCTGTGCATCAAACATGTTTTGGTTCCTTTCCACAACATTTCCTGCTACTTTTACATTTGATTCACCTGTTTGAGATTCATTAGCGCCATCAAACTCATATTCAGGTTTAAAAGAATACATTTCTGCTGTATCATTTGCTATTTCAAACACGAAAGCTTCCTGAACTTTCTTCTTTTTTGATTTCTTAGGTGTAACCCGTGCATGTGTTTTGTTCTTCCTGCGACGTTTCTTGCGAGCGGGACTATTGATTTCTGCATATACTTGGATAACAGGAGGGGTATCTTCGGATGCCTCTTCTGACAGGCTGCTATTCGGTGATTCTATCAAACAACAAACATTTTGCAATGAAAGACTACATTCGTTAGCACTATCAACATCTGACACAGCTGGGAACATACTTTGACAGATATCCAGGGTTTTGTCGGTGTTGGTACTGCTCGTATCATAATCAAATTCTTTCTTTGTAATACAAACTGGAACATGTGCCAGGTGGCTGGAATTTGCTGGCCGGGCTATATTGGTGTTACAATGTGACAGATCCAATGGGGTAGCATTTTCCATTCCAGTGTTGACCCTCATCTCAAGAGGGGAGCTTAATTCAGTGTTTGCCATTCCTATTACATGAAAAGGTTTTGTTTCCATTTCCTCATCATCCGAGATATTCTCGTACACAAATCCAATCAACTTTGGTGAATCAACATCACCAGATTCTGTCAAAGCTGTCGACGCATAATACTCCATTTTCTGAAAAATACAAACAGAAATGATTTCCTAGTTTATTGTCGTCATTATACTGTTTGTAGTATTTTATATGATAGAGGATTAATTCTACAAATGTTTTGGAGTAAAATTAAGAAATTCAGAATTGAAAAAGAAAACAAATGCAAACAACAAAATGTGTTTGCAATACTTTAAACACACTTTTTTTTTAGCATGTTGTGTAATATTCTGTGTAATGATATCATGTTGTGTATTATTCTGTGTAATGATATCATGTGTAATATTCTGTATAATTATATCATGTTGTTTATTATTCTGTGTTATGCTAGCATGTCGTGTAATATTCTGTGTAATGTTAGCATTTTGTGTAATATTATGTGTAATGTTAGCATGTTGTGTAATATTTTGTGTAATGATATCATGTTGTGTAATATTCTGTGTAATGATATCATGTTGTGTAATATTCTGTGTAATGTTATCATGTTGTGTAATATTCTGTGTAAAGCTAGCATGTTGTGTAATATTCTGTGTAATGCTAGCATGTTGTGTAATATTCTGTGTAATGCTAGCATGTTGTGTAATATTCTGTGTAATGATATCATGTTGTGTAATATTCTGTGTAATGCTAGAATGTTGTGTATTATTCTGTGTAATGATATCATGTTGTGTATTATTCTGTGTAATGATATCATGTGTGATATTCTGTATAATTATATCATGTTGTTTATTATTCTGTGTTATGCTAGCATATTGTGTAATATTCTGTATAATGATATCATGTTGTGTATTATTCTGTGTAATGATATCATGTTGTGTATTATTCTGTGTAATGCTATCATGTGTAATATTCTGTGTAATGATATAATGTTGTGTAATATTCTGTGTAATGATATCATGTTGTGTAATATTCTGTGTAATGCTATCATGTTGTGTATTATTCTGTGTAACGATATCATGTTGTGTAATATTCTGTGTAATGCTACCATGTGTAATATTCTGTGTAATGATATCATGTTGTGTAATATTCTGTGTTATGCTATCATGTTGTGTATTATTTTGTGTAATGATATCATGTTGTGTAATATTCTGTGTAATGTTAGCATGTTGTGTAATATTATGTGTAATGCTAGCATGTCGTGTAATATTCTGTGTTATGTTAGCATGTTGTGTAATATTATGTGTAATGTTAGCATGTTGTGTAATATTCTGTGTAATGCTAGCATGTTGTGTAATATTCTGTGTAATGTTAGCATGTTGTGTAATATTATATGTAATGTTAGCATGTTGTGTAATATTATGGGTAATGCTAGCATGTCGTGTAATATTCTGTGTTATGTTAGCATGTTGTGTAATATTATGTGTAATGTTAGAATGTTGTGTAATATTATGTGTAATGTTAGCATATTGTGTAATATTATGTGTAATGTTATCATGTTGTGTAATATTATGTGTAATGTTAGCATATTGTGTAATATTATGTTTAATGTTAGCATGTTGTGTAATATTATGTGTTATGTTAGCATGTTGTGTTATATTCTGTGTAATGTTAGCATGTTGTGTAATATTATATGTAATGTTAGCATGTTGTGTAATATTATGTTTAATGTTAGCATGTTGTGTAATATTATGTGTAATGATAGCATGTTGTGAAATATTATGTGTTATGTTAGCATGTTGTGTTATATTCCGTGTAATGTTAGCATGTTGTGTAATATTCTGTGTAATGCTAGAGCATGTTGTGTAATATTTTGTGTAATGATATCATGTTGTGTAATATTCTGTGTTATGCTATCATGTTGTGTATTATTTTGTGTAATGATATCATGTTGTGTAATATTCTGTGTTATGCTATCATGTTGTGTATTATTTTGTGTAATGATATCATGTTGTGTAATATTCTGTGTTATGCCAGCATGTCGTGTAATATTCTGTGTAATGATATCATGTTGTGTATTATTCTGTGTAATGATATTATGTTGTGTAATATTATGTGTAATGATATCATGTTGTGTAATATTATGTGTAATGTTAGCATATTGTGTAATATTATGTGTAATGTTATCATGTTGTGTAATATTATGTGTAATGTTAGCATATTGTGTAATATTATGTGTAATGTTATCATGTTGTGTAATATTATGTGTAATGTTAGCATATTGTGTAATATTACGTGTAATGTTAGCATGTTGTGTAATATTATGGGTAATGCTAGCATGTCGTGTAATATTCTGTGTTATGTTAGCATTTTGTGTATATTATGTGTAATGTTAGCATGTTGTGTAATATTATATGTAATGTTAGCATGTTGTGTAATATTATGGGTAATGTTAGCATGTCGTGTAATATTATGTGTAATGTAAACATGTGATGCGATTTTCTGTGTAATGTTAGCAAGGTTTCTTTTTCTTTTATATATGTGATTTTGTTAAGTATAATTCAGTCACAATTGTAAGTGAAGCTTTGTGCATAATACATATTATTATATGCATGAAATGTATCGCAATCACATTGGTCGGATCATATACGCGTGACAATGCAGTCCTGAAAATCTCATGTAGATTGGTTATCCGGTGTATATCGATTTCTAAATATAGCTTAAATGGAAATTTCCCGGAACCTGTCGTAGCGCATGCGCAGTTAGACCTGAATGCGATCTGTCAGACGACATAATAATATGGCTGCTGGCGAATGTTTCTCCTCCATTACATCAGAAAATAACCAAAACTATTCGAGGATAAAGATGCTGTTAACATAAACAAGAGTACCGCGGGGCGGAACAATATACACCCGTTGAATGCCATCTAGTGTTATATACTTTCTTACATTGAAATAAGAGTGGTTAGCTGACATGCTATAAAAAAGAGATCCCATTAGTTCTTGGTCAGTTCAATCTTTTCTCTTCTTTCCTCTAATCTGTTTGATCGAGTCATGTTAATAGTAAATGCACCTTGAGGTAACTTTTGATCTAAACTTAATACTGATGTGTATGAAAACCAACCTTCAAAGTGAGTTTGTCATTTCACATATTTACTAGTACAGTACTTTATGTGAAAGAAATAGTATCGATCATTGCAATATGAGAAAGATCTGTTCAGTTCTTCTTTTATTCCATTTTGTTTTTATGATCAGTCTTAAAATATAACATGCACAATAAGGGATTAAGGGGAACCTACATTTAAAATTTGAGAAAGATCCCTCCCGTACTTCCTGAGAAATAGTGATAACAAACTTTCACTATCAAAATCCAAGATGACTGCCTGTCAGCCATGTTGTTTATCCGATCAGTCTCAAAAGATGCCCTGCACAGCTAAGGACCAAGGGGAACCTACATATAAATTTGAGAAAGATCCCTCTGATACTTCTTGAGAAACAGCGATATCAAACTTTCACTATCAAAATCAAAGATGGCTGCCCGTCGGCCATGTTGTTTATCCGATCAGTCTCAAATGTTGCCCTGCACAGCTTAAGACCAAGGCAAACCAACATATAAAATTTGAGAAAGATCGGTCTGGTACTTCTTGAGAAATAGCGATAACAAACTTTCACTATCAAAATCCAAGATGACTGCCTGTCAGCCATGTTGTTTATCCGATCAGTCTCAAATGTTGCCCTGCACAGCTTAAGACCAAGGGAAACCAACATATAAAATTTGAGAAAGATCGTTCTGGTACTTCTTGAGAAATAGCGATAACAAGAATTGTTTAAGGACGGACGACGGACGGACCACGGACGCAGGGTGATTTGAATAGCCCACCATCAGAGGATGGTGGATTAAAAATTGTCGAATCAAAATTCTTTTAAGGGAGACACAACTTCATATCATGATTATAATGTATACCAAGTTTGGAAGAGATTGGTCGAAAAATGAAGGAGGAGATTGCCGGACAAACAAAAGTTTACGCCTGACAGACGGACAAACCCATACCATAATACTCCCGTCAAATTTGATGGGCGTATAAAAAGGCCATTCAACACGCAGTACATGTCCTCCATGCTTATCTTAAAAAAAAGAACCTAGACGATGTCTTCGAAAGCTATGATGCTGAACTGCTGAATTCAAACCTGGCTAAATTTTACACGGAGGCTCGCGTACAAAAATCAGAACCTTGAATTTTGTTTTGTTTTATTTTATTATTAAAGCTTATGATAAAACAGTTATGGGCTTTTGTGCATAATAATGTATAATAATACATAGTTTGGTGTAATGTGCAGGTAAAGTAATGTTAGCAAGTTGCGTAATATTCGGTGTAATGAAATGTATGTAATTCTAACATGTTGTAAAATATTCTGTGTTATGAAAGCTTTAGTTTAATGTGCTGTGTAATGCTTGCTTTTTGTTTAATATTCTGTGTTAGGCCAAATAAAAATATATGTATGTTTCCTGTTTCGACTCCAAAAACAAGAGGCCCAATTAAGGGCCTTAGCGGTCACCTTAGATATATTATAGGTACTGGTAGCTCAATTTCATTGTTGAGATGTGATGTGAAAAACAACATGTAACAATTTCATTGTTGAGATGTGATGTGGAAAACAACATGTAAACTTACTAAGTGAAATACAATACTTGTCATGCATGTATTGCATCAAAGGATAATATTTTAAAATATTGGTAAATTTTCCCTTTGGGGCCCCTCCCTAGCCCCTAGGATAGGGCAGGAATCCCAATTTTACAATTTGAAAACCATCTTCCTCCAAGGATAATTCTGACCAAGTTTTAATAAATTTCTGCTAAAAATGGATAAAATATACCCAAAAGTGTTATTTCCCTATATAAACTGTAGTAAATTTTACCCCCTCCCCAAGGGAGAACGGATGGCTTTGGGGTCCTGAAATTTAAAATTTAAATAAAGCCCTTGATGATTTGTCCATCTATGCAGAGAAAATGACTGTAGTACCTCTGAGTCTGGAGTAGAAGATTTTTGAAATATTGGCTAATTTTCCCTTTGGGGCCCCGCCCTGGCCCCAGGGGTTGGGGTAGGAATCCCAATTTTACAATTTGAACCATCTTCCTCCAAGAATAATTC